GTCGCCGTCCTTGTCGGAGAGGGAGAGCAGCACGACTTGGGGCTCCTTATCGTGGCGCTAATAAAACGGCAGGGTGAGCAAGATGCAGGGGGGAGGGGGGGGACAGGTGCAGGCCGCTGTATCCATGTCGGCCACCGCTGCTCCAGTATCTCCCCCTCTGCTGCGCCGCCACTCAGCTCATCAATTTTCTGCTGCTGCTGCTGTGCCGAGCCGAGCCAACGTGATCCCGTTATACGGCAATCACAATCAGAGTAACGGCGGGGTCACCTGGGCCCGGCCTGGGCCCGGCCTGGGCCCGCCGGCCGGCCGCCAGACGGCGCGTTATTGCATCGCCCGCTTTATGGAGTGATGAAGCGGCGAGGCGGCCGTGCCGGAGAAGAAGAAGCGAGGCGAGGGGTACCTCACTTCGTCTAGTCAGTGTACACCCCTGACTCCAGTCACTGCCTTGTTTCAGTCTAGTCACTGAAAAAGTCGGCAAAACCACGTAATTTTTAGTATTTTTGCAACGCATTTCGTGATATTTTCAGTCTAGTCAAAGTGGAAATTGAGTATAGTCACCAGTCAGTGTACACCTGTTTTCGAAGTGAGGTACCCCTCGAAGCGAGGGCACGCTGACGAGATGTCAGAATGTCAGAGGCGAGGCGCGTGGGGCGACGCCAGAGAGGCTTTGGTCCGCCCGGCGGACTGACGCCGTCCTCGCGACGCCGTCCTCGCGACGCCGTCCTCGCGACGCCGTCCTCGCGACGCCGTCCTCGCGACGCCGTCCTCGCGACGCCGTCCTCGCGACGCCGTCCTCGCGACGCCGTCCTCGCGACGCCGTCCTCGCGACGCCGTCCTCGCGACGCCGGCGACGCCAGCATCCGGCCGGGGTGGCGGCACTAGGCGGCGCGCCGCGGCGAGGCGAGCAGACGGATGCGCGGTCCCGAGACACAGCCTGCCAGGCCAGGCCCGCCAGATGAACCCAGCTAGAGATGTGCGAACATGTTCGGCTCCGAACGAACACGAACGAACCGAACACATAATTAGTTCGATCGGTAACGAACACTTAGTGCTCGCACACGAAATGTTCGTAAAATTATTGTAAGGTGCGTTCGAGTCTGAACAACGACCCGATACGCTACGGACACGTGTGAACAAGCAGCGCAGAACCAGGATTCTATGCATGTCGCTCGACAAGTTTCGTGTCCCTTCTAAAAAAATTATAATGATAAAGACAAATCATAGCGATTTTTTTGCGGAAGCATATGAGAACTGAAATGAACCAATATTTACATTTGAGTCCACATTGTAGTATTTCTTGTTAAGAGGACTGTTCGAGCCTTGATCGTTCGGATTCGAACAACATTGTGTTCGGTTCGGTTCGTTCGAAAAAAATAGTGACGTGTTCGGTTCGGTTCGAATTAAGTTTTAAATTTCCTGTTCGTGTTCGTTCGGATTCAAACACAGCCTGTTCGCACGTCTCTAAACCCAGCCAAGGCCGCGGCGGGGACGAGCAAGAGGACAAGCCACAGTGGGCCAGAAGACCGGCGGAGGCGGCCAGAACGCCAGCCGCGTTTTGAGCTCCGGTCGCTGAATAAGACTCAAACCGAACGTGTGACCCCACCAATGGATTCCCCGTTCGGAGAGCAATCCATTGGTGGGGTCACACGTTCGGTTCGAGTCCCATCTAGCGACTCTGGAGCTCTAAACGCGTCTAGAATTTTGGCCGCCTCCACCGGTCTTCTGGCCCACTGCGGCCCACGCGCGTAGCGGCGGCGCCTCCGCCGCCAGGTGCCTCGGCGCGCCTTGGCGCCTGCAGAGCGCAGGGTAGGCCCGCCCGCAGCACTCGCGTGTCTGGCGGGCCGTGGCACGCAGGTGCCTCCAGGGGCTCGCCGCCGGGACGCCGCCCGGGCTGCCCGCGCGCCTCGCCTCCACAAAGGGCACAATGGTGGACGCACGGCGGGAAAAAATGGTCGACACGGACGCGCCAGTGCGGAGGGCACCACACGCATGGCGTGGCGGAGGACAGCACCTTGTCGCCATGGCCCTCTGTGCGGGTGCGAGCGCAGGTGGCCTCTGCCCACAAAATCAGTTACTTGGAAGGGCCTTGTGGCCGGCAGAGTCCCCCCACCCTGGAGCCTGGACGCTGGACCCTGGCGGCCGGCGGCCCCCCGCGCCGATTTCGCGCCCCCTATTCGGGCCCCCCACAGGGCCCCCCACGGGGCGGCACGTGGACCTACGCTAAGGCGCAAGACCATCGGCAGGAAAAGATTGGGGTGGCCGAAAAGCCTCGCACTCACACACACGGCGCGAGTAAGCCAGGCGGCCCGGGAAACGAACACGACGCCGGCCACAAACAGGACGCGGGGGAGGACGAAAATCCCCGCTTTCAGCTCTCGGATCCACTCGCACCGAAACCCCCGGCACTCCGTCCGGCTGCAGCAGCAATGCAGCCGGCCCGACAAGAATGTTGCACAACAATATCGCGCGGAATGGAGTGCGCACTGCCGCGCTGCCGACTGTCTCTCTCGCACCCCGACGCGGCCGGCACGGCAGTGCGAGGGAGAGGGAGAGGCGGCAGCGCTCGGCTCGGAGCGCGACGCGCGCGGGCAATGCGGGCAACGCGCTCGCCAGGTTTAATAACCAATGGCGATGATGTACACCGCGAGGCACTGCAGGGGGGAGCCGGGAACGGCATATTAAGCGGCGCGCTGTTTATGGAAGCCTTCGCCCTCGCCGTCCTGGAGGTCCTGAAGGGCCAGAAGACCGGTGGAGGCGGTCGGAATTCCGAACCGGTTCTGAGCTCCAGAGTCGCTAAATGGGACTCGAACCGAACGTGTGACCCCACCAATGGATTCCTCGTTCGGAGAGAAATCCATTGGTGGGGTCACATGTTCGGTTCGAGTCCCATTTAGCGACTGAGCTTAAAACGCGTCTAGAGTTTTGGCCGCTAGCGGCCTTCTGGCCCACTGTGGCCTGGCGGCCCTGGCGGCCCTGGCGGCCCCTCTCCGCGGCGGGGCGAACACGGCCATCACCGCGATGGGCACGACGCACGCCGCTTCCGCCATTTCAAACTTTCCCGCGCACACGTCAATTAGGCCCGCATTATCCGGCGCGCCCCGAAAAGTGCCAAAAAGCGCCCAAAAGTCCCGAAAGTTGGAGGCGAAAATAAAATGAAACAAAACAAAATCGATACGGTAATTAATAAGGCCGCGGCCCTCCTCGCTTCGTCCAATTAGGACGCGAGGAAAAATCCCAAAGCAAAAGCCAAAAGCGGGACGGAATCCGAAAAAATGAAATAAAATAAAGCGAAACGCCGCGCGTCTGTCTGTCTCTGTGAATGGCAATGAATGGCCCTGAATTGTAACAAAACGGCCGGACGGCAGGAGAGGGGAGCCCCGTCCGAGGCCGCGGCGCACCTCCACTGTTTGTGTTTCTGTTTCACGGTGGCGTACTCGACGGCTTGATTAGAAAATTTTGTGTCGTGATAACGCTTTGGGCGACGTCTACAAACAAACCAACAAACAAACAAACAAGCAGACGCGGTAGGAGAGCAGCGCTTATTTGAACAACTGGCTCCTCTCGTCCTACATCAGGACCGGCTTGGCGAACCAGAGCACCAGAGCAGTCGTGCGAGGGTCTCTCGGCAGGACTGCGTTGCACGAACGTGATCCCCCCGTCTGCCGCGTCGCCCCGGTGTTTGACTCGGGTTCGATTACAGAGCAGGGGGATGCTTTTTTGCTCCTGGTTTGTTTCCGTCTAGCTTTATTCTCCGCGACGCTGCAGGATAGGAGTCGTCCCGGGCGGGTTCCCACGCGCGGACGACGGCGGCGTGCTTCGCGTCGCCGGTCGGTTCGTGTATCCCTGAATGCGATACCACTGTCTGTTTTTCCGCGGCCCGGACCGAACCGTCCCGACGACGCCAAGGCTGCGGCTTAGCCCAGGGCCCAGGGCAGTGCCGGCGGAGCGGAGCGGACCGGACCGGGCGCCCTCCGCCAGGCCGCAGGGCGCTAAGAAGCCCCCCGCGCCGCCAAACCGTTTTCGGGACGTGCCGGGCGCCGTCCGCCCCGCCGTGCCTCCCGGACCCGCAGACTGATTCCGAGAGTCGTTTTCGTCGCTCTGTCTCTCTCGCACCTGCGCGGGACGCCCCGTGAGTGCGAGGGAGACAGAGCGACGAGAACGACTCTCGGAATCAGTCTGCGGGTCCGAGCCGAGGGACTGGCAGACTGGCCCTCTGGTCGGCGCGGCAAGGGCAGGGTGGCAGGGCGGCAGGGCGGCCAGGGAAAAGATTGAAAGCAAATACATTTATTGGTGTGAAAGGCTCTGACATGGCTGCCATGGTGTTGCGGGCCGGCGGCCACGCCCCACCCCCACCCCACCCCTCGCCTCCAAGCTTGCCTTGCCCTTGGACTTGGCCCTCGCCTCGGACTGGCCCTTCTTGTGGACACAGCGGCACGGAATAAGCGGTGTCGGAGTGTCTGGCCGCCCAGGCTGCTGATTTGTACACCAGCTAAGACGATTCAGATGCGGTGATGGGATCGGGGTGGGGCGTGGACAAGCATGTGGGGGAGTTGCTCTGTCTCTCTCACACCCCTGCGGAGACCCTTACCCTACACGAGTGCGAGAGAGACGCAGAGCCCTTTGGGATCATTCCGCTCTGGAGACTAGTACACGTCTTGAGGGAGACGGACCCAAAAACCGGAACGATTTGAAGAGAAACTTTTCCTCCTGAGATTATATAGAACTTTGATCTCGCAGTGTGTACGCGATCGCTCGAGACGCGAAACTACGGACGGGGAATTCCGGGGCCTTCCGCCGTGTGTGACATCAGGTCAGGAAGTTGTACACACACACGCAGACACACACAGACACAGATACACACGGACACACACACGGACACACACACACACACACACACACACACTAACACAGGCGCGCGCGGCACGTGCCTTCCTGACGCGCCTGACGCGGCTGACGCGCCCACTTGGGCCGATTGGACAGATAGGACGTCATGGACTCACCCTGTGTGGGTACGCGGTCGCCAGCCCCAGCATCAGCGACACCGAGAGCAGCAGGACCACGGCGGATTCCTTGATGGGTGCCATGCTGAGCCTGGAACGCGAGACCGAAATTGAAAACGAGCAACAACAAAAACAACAACAACAGGAAAACGAATGGAAACGTGCCGCCAGATCGCCATCGCCGGCCAAGTCCGCCAATTATTTTCCGGCGCCCCAGAGCCGCAGAGCGCGCAAAGCCGCCCAGAGCCCCCGGACTGGCGGGCTGCCCCTGCCTGGTGGCGCCGCGCTGCGCCGCGACGTGCCGCCAGCGCTGTCGCCCCGTCTCTCTCGCACTCACGGCGCGGCCCGTGGGGGTGCGAGAGAGCGAGAGAGACGGAGTGACAGCGCGCGGGGGCAGAGCGACCGACGGGGCCGCGCCGCCCTGGAGGACACCGTGCTGCTGGTCACTCTGATAGGGGCCTCGGACCCCACTCGCGGGGACGCGTCGCTGTCGATCAGGAAGCGTCCCCAGAGCCCCCGGGGCTGTCTCTCTCGCACCCAGACCGGACGCCCCACGAGTGCGACAGAGACAAGCGGCGAAAACGACCCTCGGAATCGGTCTGCCGGAGCTCGCCGTCGACGCGGCCAAGACTCGGCAGTCGGCATGGCTCCACGATCCGGAGGGCGTGCGGAGGGCGGCACCAAAGACTCCGCAAACACTGGCGCCAAGTGGGCCGCCCGGCGATTGTCACGTCAGCGTGGACCAATGACGTCGTCGATGACGTCACCGATGACGTCACGCGGCGGAAAGGAACGGGCCGTTCAAAACGGCCGGCTGCGCTGAAGCGAGCAGCGCCTGGTCGGCGACCAAGTGGTGGTCAGTGCCTCCAATCGGCAAATGGACGAAGGGGCCCGAAGGGGCATCGGTGTCCTGGATGTGCCCTGCCGAGGCCGCCGCCGAGGCCACCGGCCGCCGGGGCAGAGGTCCATTAGGGGGGCCATCTTGGGGGACGGCCAGCCGAGCGGCCAGCAGAGCGGCCAGCGCGCCGAGGCGGACCAGGCCAGAGCGCGCACTGCGCTCAGCTCATCCCCTTCATATACGGCATCATTTGGCTCATTCAAAGGCCATTGCCGGTCGCTTTGCCGGCCCTACATGCCCGGTGGGGCCTGCCCTGCCGCGCCCTGCCCTGCCCTGCGCGCCCCGTCCACTGGCCGGCCGTGGCCTCCTGATGGCGGGCTGAGTGGGTTGTTCCACTAGCCGGCCAACATTGCCAATGAGTATGGGTCGCAGCCAGCAGCACCAGCAGCGAGCACTACACCGCGATGTGCAGGAAAAAGTCGGCGAGCGGGGAGTCGGTCACCGGGGAAAAAATAGCAGCCCCATATAGTGGAGCCCCCCGCACACTACACCCTAAATAACGGGGCCGCGGGTGCGCCTAGGCGGCCTAGGCCTCTGGGTGGGGGAGGCGCACTGGCGGAGAACGAGCACCCCGTCGGGCGTTCTGCTTTTTGCACTCCTTCATGACGGAGAGGACGCCGTCGGCCGGGGCGCCTCGCTCACGGCGCACCACCTTGGCGACGCCCTCCACGTCCACGCGCTGCTGCAGACTGACTCCGAAGGTCGTTTTCGTCACTGTCTCTCTCGCACCCATGGGGCGTTCCCCTTAGGTGCGAGAGAGACAGAGCGACGACTCTCGGAATCAGTCTGCTGCACAGCTCCGGGGAAATCCAGACGCGCTGCCACGGCCAGTCCCTGGCCTGCCGAAGCCTAAACGGACCGCCCCCGCGCCCTCGCGCCCTCGCGCCCCGCCGTGCGGTATCTGAGTTTGTTCACCGCTGGCTCCATACATCTTGTCTAACGGCAACACGCCCCCGCTGCCCCCGCCCCGCGCGCGCCCCGAGGACCCGCAGGACCCGGAGGGGCCGTGCGTCTATTTCGCGTGGCGTCGGCGGCGTGGCTGGCAAAGTATGTTGTGCTGGTTTCATTTTTTCGGCCAGGGAATGGACGCGCGGCGCCACGAGAACAAAGGTTCAGCGGGGGGAAAAAAACTGCGGTGGGGGCGGGGATCGAACCCGAACCTCTACTTCTCCATCTAGCTATGCACCACCAGGGTTCCCTCTCAGAATGCGCTCGGGGAAGACGTGGTGTCACAACGCAAAGCAAAATAAAAAAAACATTGCGGCCAAAAACGCGTCTAGAATTTTGACCGCCTCCACCGGTCTTGTGTCAAATCCACTCCACTGTGCGGCGCTGCGACGGTGGCGCCACCAAGGTGACCGGGAGGGCAATTAACGGCCGGCTTGCCAATTACGGCGGGGAAATGTTGTCCGAAGCTGTTGGCGCAGTTTTGCGCGGCGAGCGGCGGAAAGCGCGGAAAGTGTCGCCCCGCGCAACGCGCCGTTCCGTTTATATAGCGAGCCTTCGCGCGGCCAAAGTGCGACCGCGTCGAATGCCCACTGCAATGCCCCACGCGTGAGCACGGCGCACAGTGGGCCAGAAGACCGGTGGAGGCGTTCAAAACTCTGGACGCGTTTTGAGCTCCAGAGTCGCTAAATGGGATTCGAACTGACCGTGTGACCCCACCAATGGATTCCTCGTTCGGAGAGCAATCCATTGGTGGGGTCACACGTTCGGTTCGAGTCCTGATTAGCGACTCTGGAGCTCAAAACGCGTCTAGAGTTTCGGCCGCCTCCACCGGTCGTCTGGCCCACTGTGCGGCGTGAGCCGGCAGTCACCTCCCGAAGTGTGACGCGGCACGACCGCGAGGCAGCCGCGCCGCCGTGTCCTGACCGGGCGGGGCAAAAAATGACAGACATAGCGGCAGACACAGAGAGGAAGGGGGAGGGGCGCCGTGCCCCGCCGTGCCCCACATCGCTATCACTGTCAGGGCTCCAGAAGAAAGGCGGCGCGAGTGAGGGTGCGGAGAAATGGAGCGAGACAGTGCACAGTGCAGGCAAGGAAAAACGCGAGCGCGATCAAAGGATAACCCAGAACAAGCCGCCCAATAAAAGCACATCCCCGGGTTCGACTCCCCGCCGCCGCGGGCGGCCTCAATTTAATTTTTTTCGGTGCGCTGCGAGGTATTTTGGCTTATCAATGGAGTCTTATTGGATTGGAGGCGGAGGCAGCCGGAATTGCAGGGAGCAGAGGTCGAGAACCTTCCCTCCCCTAGCCGGTAGGCCGCCTTGGCCAGCCTATTATGCGCTGAGACCCACGGACGGCCCACGGCCTACGGCCCACGGAGGGACGCGTACCTGTGGGCGGAGCGCAGGGCAGAGCCTAGCGCGGGGATGGAGCTTAGTCCTGACAAGGCCCAGCCTGGAGGCCCCCTTCCTGGCCTGGCGCCCCCGGCGACCCAAACCGCAAACCGCGCTCAACTTGTCGAAGCAGTCTTGAGAAAAACAAAATCGGACGACACAGTGGCGGACGGCGCGCGAGACGCGAGAGGCGACACAGCAGCCGGGCTGTATCACCCACAGCAGCGAGATACGGGCCCTTCATACAGTGAGAGTGAGCCGGGGCGGGGCGGGGCGGGGCGGTCGAGTGTCCTTCCCGTCGACACACCATCCGTCACGCCGACAACCCTCCGGCCGGCCCGCCCCGCCCCCTGCCGGACAAAACGCGCTGCTCGGGACGGACGCCAAGTGCCCCGCCAAGTACGCGAGTGGCCACCACAAGTTTTCCGAGCCGCTCCGCCGCCACGCCACTTTGCGCAACAGCAGCGCGATTACGGTCATCTGCAGCGCCTTGCAGTGTGGTGGCGGCCGGCTGGGTCGCCGCGCTACAGTGGGCCAGAAGACCGGTGGAGGCGGTCGAAATCCCTGACGAGTTTTGGGCTCCAGAGTCGCTAAACGGGACTCGAACCGATCGTGTGACCCCACCAACGGATTGCTCTCCGAACGAGGAAGCCATTGGTGGGGTCACACGCTCGGTTCGAGTCCTGTTCAGCGACTCTGGAGCTCAAAACGTGTCTGGAGTTTCGGCCGACTGCACCGGTCTTCTGGCCCACTGCGCACTGCGGCCAAAGGGATTCGGCTTCCATTCCGACAGAGTGCCGGCCGTTGGCGGTAAATAAGGAGCACGCACTCGGTAAAAGTTTCAGCGTTTTAGGACGCTGCAAAACCGCTGTCCCGGCCCGCCATACACCGTAAGCCGTACCTGTGCCCGTAAACCGGGTAAAGCCGAAGCCGCGGGTGTTCGTACGAGTGTGGCCGCTGGTTCGCTTGTTCTCCCTTGACCATCCGCACTGAAACTGGCCGCGCCGCGGGGACCGCTTCGCCTTTGAGCGGGCATGCCTGGCATGGCCGCCAGTGTGCTGCCAGCGCGGCCGGGCCGCCGGGTCAAAGGGTCACCGCGACGACCCGCCACGGCTGGCGGCGGCGGTTTTCCGACAAGAGAAAAAAAAAGTTCATCGCCAAGACGCGATCCCCGAGCTATGAACAAACACACTCGGGCAGCGCGCCAACGCCACGCTCGTCTTCGTCGTCGCTTTCTTGTTATGGCGGGAAAGTACGCCAGAAGAAACAGGCAAGTGGCCGATCAAAACCAGTGCTGCTAGGAGTCGTGCCCTGCAGCTGTACTACTTGCGTGGCAGTCCTGGGAATCCTTTCACTGCCCCGCCACACCCCGCCACGCCACTGCCACGCTCGGAGTGGAAAGATGAAATATTAATGCCCTTTTGCATGGCTTGTCCTTTCGCTGCGACGTTCGACGGATAGGACGGCGAGTCAACAGCGGCGACAGAGTCGTTGCGAGCAGTGCCACTGTCCGTCTCCCTCGCACTCGCGGCGCGTGCCGGCGTGGCGCGGAGGCCCGAGAGAGACGGCATCCATTTGCATCCTGCGACGGACTTGTTATTTGGCGAGGACAAGCGCGGCGCCCTGTCCGCAATCACTGGATTCTGCATTGCATGGCGACACGCGCAGCGCACCGGAGTCTGCGGCCCGCGAGCGCGGTGACGCGACGCGCGAAGTCGCTTTCGTCGCTCTGTCTCTCTCGCACACGCACGGCTCTCGCCATGAGTGCGACGGAGACGGAGCGACGAGGCGACTCCGAGCAGTGGGGCCTTGGCACGACGGAGATAGTCAGTCCTCCGCGGGAAGGCCGCGGCGCGCGTTCTCGGAACCTGCGGCCGCCGTCAACATTTCGACGATACGAGCGATGGCGCGGCGATTGCTCCCTACGCAGAAAATTTCGTGCGTCTGGGTATCTTGGTCGAAAACTAGTTAGTCTCTAAGTGGAAACGCCGCACAGTGGGCCAGAAGGCCGGTGGGGGTGGTCAAAATCCCGGACGCTCCAGTGTCGCTAATCTGGACTGGAACCGAACGTGTGACCCCCACCAGTGGATTCCTCGTTCGGAGAGCAATCCATTGATGGGGTCACCCGTTCGTTTCCAGTCCCATTTAGCGACTCCAGAGATCAAAACGCGTCCGGGATTTTGACTGCCACCACCGGTCTTCTGGCCCACTGTGCGACGCCTTTGTCTCTCTATCTCCCACTTTTCGCTCGCCCCACCAGCCTCGCGCACTCCAAGTCAAGTGTCAGCGGGCGAGAACGCCTGGCTTTCTGAAAACAAGAAAAAGGTGGGGTGGATTGATCGGACTGCCATCTTCAAGACGTTTCCGAATGTTATCGCCGTTTTTACGATTCGGCCGGGCCGGGCCGGGCGGGGCCCCGTGCAGCGAGTGGCGGCAGCACGGCGACAGGGTTGGTGACACTGGATTCGACGGACGTGAAGGACCAGACGGCCTACTAACCGATTGATCTTGTTGATCCTTGTTTATTTTTACGAGAGGCACAAAGGGGCCGATAAGACGAGGCGGTGGATTGGCATTGGCTGCGCAGCGCAGCGGAGAGGAGAGGGGCGCCACCTCGCGGGTCAAGGTCGGCCCCGCCCTGCAGCAGGCCTGCAGCAGCGGGACAACTTTTGGGCTGCTTGTTGTTGTTGTCGCCACTACGGGTGACAAGAAACGAGGCAAGACGAGTGATTACTCTGACGCGTAGGTAAAGGTGAAAGAGATGGGCGCATTCACTGTGTCCCACGCATACAACGCTCAATTACGCCTGAAAGTAGTTGGAATTCGGCTCAATTCACCCCCAAAAATAGGTAAAATTTTGATTTTTTTTTTGCGGCTATTACGCTACTATTACGCATCCTGTCACGCGCTATGAGGGGCAAAATGGTCCGCTTATTATGCGAGTGCATACCACCCTCTCGGTTAACGTTTCTTCATGATTGCTTTCTCGACAGTGCGCCACCAAAGCGGATCAGTAAATTAGAGGAAAGATGATGCTCTGGCGTAATCATCTCTCGTGGCGTTCCGTTCCGACTTTCCGACCCGAGTCGAGTCGCGTGGAGCCTAGCGAACGGAGTGCACTCGGTCGACTTGAGGACCTCGAGGTGCGCGCCGCGCCGCACGCGCCGAGAGTGTAAGCCCTGCTTAGGCGTGTGCAGCGGGCCGGGGCCTCGTCGGGGTGCTCCGGGGCGCGCCACGCCGGGCTGGTAAGGAGATGAGCACACAGACGAGACGCGCTAGGCGGCGCCACGAGCCCGACTGGCGGCGAGGGGGGCCGCTCTTTGGATTGGAACAAGGCGGTGGTTAGTTATCAAAGAAAAATCGCCTCCAACCTTGGCCTGCAAGTCTCGGTCGGGCGCTGCACAGTGGCCCAGCCCAGAAGACTGGTGGAGGCTGCCGAAATCCTGCACGCGTTTACGGCCCCAGAGGCCTTCGCTCGGCCTAAGTAGACTGATTCCGAGAGCCGTTTTCGTCGCTGCCTCTCTCGCACCTGTACGGGACGCCCCACGAGTGCGAGAGAGACAGAGCGACGAATCAGTCTCTGCGGCGCGCACGGCGAGGCAGCTTTTGCGCTTCACGCCCGGGCCTGGCGCTCGGTCCTACGGGCAGCACGGCGGACGGCGGATAGTTGAGCACGGATTGGGTAACTCAGTTACAAAGAACATCCCAGGCCGGGCGGCCTCCGTTCGGCAGGTGCGCGGGCGTCGCGTCGCGGTGCCGCCTGGTCCGGCCCTCTTCGTCGGCACGTCGGCACCCCAAAGGCCCTCCGGGGCCCTCCGGGGCCCTTCGGCGGCGGGACGGCCCTAATCCGCACGCTATACTTTGCTTGCCCGGCGGACCGGGTGATTAAGCTCTCATCGTGAAGGGCATTAAGTGCGGCATTATGGTGCCCCCGTGGGCCTGGCCGTGCTGGCCGTGCTGGCTGTGCTGCCGGGGCCTGCAGCCCTGGAGCCCCGGGCGGCCCAGACGGCCCCGCGGAGGGACGCCGACGCCGCCACGCCGCCAGGGCATCCATAATTACGGAATTGCGTGAGTCTAGACGAAAAGGGCGGGACTTTTAAAGTAGGGCGGCAATTATAAAACTCGTTAAAAAAACGTGAAAAATTTAATCGTTTTTAAATAAAAACGGAAGCGGCGTGTTTCTCCATCGGCCACTTTGTGGTCCGGCGTTTCGTTTTCGCAGTGTAGAAGCTACTCACCGCCTGGAGAGAAGTGGAGCACCGAAGGGTTGCCTGCCTGGTCGCCTCGCCGAGCCTTGAGCTGCTCCCGCTGCACTGTGCACGCAACAACCACCTGTACGCGTCTGAGGGACGAGCCGACGCGCGCCACCCTTATGTAGGCGCGCCGGGCTGGTGGGGGGTGGGGCGGCTCCGGGGAGGGGGCGAGGCGGGGCAGGGCGGGGCGGGGCGGGGTGGGGCGGGGTGGGGCGGGGCGGGGCGGGTAAGTGTAATGGGATGGGCGGCCACATGGAACGGGATGCTAGTTTTTCCCCCAAGCCGTGACTCGTCGCCTTTCTTATTGGCCGCTTCGACAGCGATCAACTGGTGCGGTAGCGTCGTGGCGGAGTGCGGGGTGACGACGAGGAAGGGCACAGTAGGCCAGAAGGCCGGCGGAGGTAGCCGAAACTCGAGACGCATTTCGAGCTCCAGAGTCGCTGAACAGGACTCGAACTGAACGTGTGACCCCCACCTATGGATTCCTCGTACGGAGCGCAATCCATTAGTGGGGTCACACGTTCGGTTCGAGTCCCAATTTAGCGATTCTGGAGCTCAGACCGAGTCTGGGGTTTTGACCGCCTCCACCGGTCTTCTGGCCCACTGTGCGCTGGCTCAGTCTGGCACAGCCGGCGGACTGTCCTGCGTCCTGCGGCGGCAAGGAGCGCCCGCGCGCGCCAGGATGGGCCGGCCCGGGCAACGGGCGCGTGTGGCGGCTGGCCCGCCCCGCCGCGCGCGGGCGCTTGGCTGCGCTCGGCCTCGCCCTCGCCCTCGCCATGACCGAGGTAGCGGTGAGATGGAAGGTGGTACGGTGGAGTCGAAAGTTTATGTCCCCCAGCGACGGGTAGAGCTCGCGGGGAGGTAGCCGCAGTCGTTGCGGACGCACAATGGACCAGAAAACAGGTGAAAGTGGCCAAAATCCCCGACAGGTTCTGAGCTCCAGAGACGTTAAATGGGACTCGAACCGAACGTGTGACCCCACCAATGGCTTGCTCTCCGGACTAGGAATCCATTGGTGGGGTCACACGTTCGGTTCGAGTCCCGTTTAGCGACTCTGGAGCTCAAAACGCGTCTAGAGCCTTGTCCGTCCGCCTGCGCCGATCCTCTGGCCAACTGTGCGCCAGGGCCAGGGCCAGGGGCAGCAGCAAGGCAGCGCCGCCGCGATAAAAGAAGGTGCATGCCGGCGGAAGGAGCGAGGCATCCTTGGCTGCATAAACCGTGCCGCAATATCCATAAATGCGCCGGACCGCCTCGTCGTCTAGCTTGGCGTCGCGCAGGGCGGCAAGGCGGCAGGGCGGCAGCGCTTTGCAGGTGCGCTCCCGGGTGCCCGGCCGGCGGCGCGATCACTGTTCTGCTCGTTCTGCTCCTCTGCCGCGGCTGCGCTGACGCCGGCCTGACGCCAAGGCCGGGCTGACGCAGGCGGCCGGAAGGCGGTGTAGGTCGCGGCGGTCGTGACGTCCAGCAGGGCGGCCGAGGACGCCGCCGCCGTCCGCCGCGTCGGCCGCATCCACAACGACGACGCCCACACGCGAGGGACGGGAAGGACTGAATTCCGAGAGTCGTTTTCGTCGCTCTGTCTCTCTCGCAACTGTAGGGGACGCCGCATGTGCGCGAGAGAGACAGGGCGACGAAAGCGACTCTCGGAATCAGTCAGCTGAGTGCCGAACCGACTGCAGCCGCCTGCAGGCCCGCCACACCCCGCCCCACGGCCCACGCCGGGCCGGAGTCAGATGGCTCGCCTCCCAGCCCCGCACCCCTCACCTGGAGCCAGCCAGCCAGCCGAGCGCTCCGTGCTCCTGCACGGCCTGCACGGCCTGCACGGCCTGCACGGCCTGCACGGGGGCGGGTCACGGATTGGCTCTAAACACACAGCCAGTCAAGGTTGGCACAGGGGCCCCACAAGCCTCATGAATACGGGCCGCTTTTTGCAGTGGAGGGGGGCATCAGGGCGGGGAATGGAATTCAATACGGAATACAGCAAACAGCACGCGCGGGGAGCAATGCGGAGAATGGAACCGGATATGGCAAAGAGCGTCGGCGGGATAGCGCGGACACACACACACACGCACGCACACACACACCCACACGCACGCACGCACACACAAGCACGACCTGACTCATCACAGCAGCGCGCTGTTTCGGGGGAGGATAATGTCGATCCAGAAAGCCTTTCTGCAATCGCTATCACCGCTGCCCACTCGCGTCCTCCAGCCACCTGCCCCCCCCCCCCCTTGCCCGCCCCTTGCCCCCCTCGCCCGTAACGAAACCTCGTCCGCGCGGCATACGGCATACCAATTTCGAGAGGCGCATGTTGGTAGCGGATTAACTTTCGCGCGCCGCGCCTGATTGATTGCGTCTCTTTGTTTCTCTCGCTCTCGCAGTCGCACGCTGCGACGAGGCGAGAGCGGGGCGCACAGTGGGCCACACCGGTGGAGGCGGCCAAAATCCCGGACGCGTTCTGAGCTCCAGAGTCGCTAAATGGGGTTCGAACCGAACGTGTGACCCCAATGGATTGCTCTCCGAACGAGGAACCCATTGGTGGGGACACACGCTCGGTTCGGGTCCTGTTTAGCGACGCTGGAGCTCAAAACGCGTCTAGAGTCCCCCGCGAGGAAGGCATCCCATACCCCATCCCCGTCGTGGCCGGTCGAGTCGGCCGCCCCGAATCGGTCTATTTGGGGAGCAAATCCCTCCGGCTGCCCTGCCGGCGAGGCCCCCACGGCCCCGGCGGCCCCACGGCCCCCACGGCCCCCACGGCCCCACGGCCCCGACACGGCACGATGCCTGTTGGGGGCGTGGCGGGCGTGGCCAGCGGGGAAGGGGAGGGGGGAGGGCTAAATGGCTAATGCACACTTCCGTGGACACAATGCGGCTTATCGCGGCGTGTGTGAGAGTGAGTGTCGACGGCGCGGTCCGAGCCACACACGCGGGCCGCGAGTAGCCCGCCAAAGTGACTCGCCGGAAACGCGCCTTGTCGATAGTGCCCCCGCGCTATCGCCCCCCCCCCCTTTCCTAACACGTCGCGAGCGCCGCGTGCGTTAATTGGTGGCGGTAGCACTCGGCCGGGCCCCGCCTGGCCCCCATCGCGCACCGCACCGCGCCGCACTTGGTCAATAATTGGTGCATCGTGACCCGGTTTCCAATAATTGCGGAGCCACGCTGGTTCCCCTTGTTTGGCGGGCTTGCCGGGGAGGTCTCTCTATCTCTGTCTCTCTCTCGCACTCATGGAGAGTCGTCGGAGCGAGAGAGACGGAATGAGCCTGCAGCCACGCCGACATGGTGGCGATGGTGGTGACACGGGCCATCCGGGCCCTCGCCCTCGCCCTTGCCGCCCTTGCCCCCAATGTACAGAGATGGCCTACCGACTCGCCTACCGAGGAGCCCATGGTGGCAGGAGGGATCAATTCGAGTCAAGTTCAGTTTCTGTAGAAAAAAAGGGCTTTTATTTTAAAACGGACGAACAACAAGAACATATTTTTTTCTTTCAACAGCAGTAGGCAACACGCAGAGAAGGGCACTGTCTGTGCTTAGCAGACACCTAATTTAGCGTGATGTGGATGGCAAAAACCCTGGGACAAAGCAGCCAGGAATAGAAAGGCAGAGAATGAGAAAGATCAATGGAAAGATTCCGAACCTATGACAAATGTCCACCATACAAGAATGTCTTTGCACTATCTTGAGTTCATTCTAGGTTGTTGACAAGAGTCAACCCCTGGAAAACAACAGCCGCCTAAATGACAGTCTTTTGAACATACATACAGAATAAGAATAAAAAATAACTCTACAAGATGCCTGCGATTAACAGGGTAAGCGAATAATGAGGTAAAGCCCTAATAGTTCAATAGGCTTGCAGTACAAAATCAGTTCACACAATGTGTTGATATTGCAACTATGGTCTTAAAATAAAAATCATATTAAGTATAAAAATGCGGGCAGTCAACTATGTGTATTGCTTCAATTTAGAAAACATTACAATTCACAGACTCACAACTTTCACATTATGTACCTAACTCTTTCATACCATACATGAGCTTCAGTTTTTGGACTGAGATAAGTAAGGACAAGTAAGTACTTATATGACACCATAGTTAATTAAAATGTCCTCTATAAATCCATGATATGTCTCACCAAACAATCCCAAATACTATGCTTTTAATAAAATATTATAAACACAAAAAGACGCTTTACACACATGATGACTAGCTAAGACAAGAAGTCAGAAAATATTCGAAAGCTATGAGGGCAAGATTGAAAGGAATCACCAAAAATCTTGACATAAATAAAGTAAAAGTACCCTCTAAAAAATTGCACAAAGATCCGACTCACAAGGTGTAGACAGAAAACATAACATTAACTTTTGACTAACTCCTCAATATACTACCTCAAAATATTATAATTTACAAACAAGCTTAACAACAAGATAAAGTAATGCAACAATGATGTGCATTCGAAAGGTTATCAAACAATCCAGACAATTTTTGAAACTAGTTAGAATTAGTTAATTAATTTTTTATTTTTGACATTTAATTAAGTCTTGAAGTCAAGAGTATAACAATTTTAATAATGTAAGAAACAGATGAAGTATAGGCAAATAGATCTTGCAGAAAACCATATCAACAAAAAAAATTAAAAAAAAAAAGCTGTGACAATTACTTTTTAACAGTAGCATTTGTCTGAATACTCTAAATGTTTGTTCTTTTTGGAATGTTCTGAACACCCAAAAACATTCAAAGGGGTGTGACTGATGTGACAGAGGTGTCTTATAAACTACGAAGGAGAATGTTTAAGTTCTGTGATCACACAGAGTCAAAGAAAAAGACACTAATGAGCCAAGTGAAAATATACTACAATTACTCCCAACGCATAGTGGGAGTAAAAAGACAAGTGCATGGATACAAATGTAAAACCCATCAAATCTGATAAAGACAGGATGATGTCCAGATTAAGAATATAAATCTAGATATTTCATCTCTACAGCATACACACAAAAAAGGAAAAGTGATGCAAATAGACAAAGCAAACATGAATTGAACAGTATTAAATAAACCACTAATACAAAATAAAGTACAGTAATAATAAAACTCAGCATCAATTCATAATTGCTTACATGAGAATTTATATCAGGTATTGGAAATTGCTTCAGAACTAACACCTATAAATGGAATCACTTATAATTTTATCACAATGTTGTAAGTGCCGTGATCTTACAAAATGGGACAACAACAACACCTTAGTACATAAGGTGGAATCCAGCAGGCTGGAGCATCTGAAGTAGCACTGAAATAAAATAATGACACAAGCACCCAATTGCGTCATACTTCATGAGTTAATAGTGTAGTTGAATCACTTTGATAGGAACTGTATGGAACTCCTGTGTCGCATGGCAGGAGCCAAAGAAGCGGATGAGTGCGGCCACAGACTTCTGTAAGTAGTGCCAAACGAGGCTTATGGGGTCGGTATGGACCGAGATCTTGGGCTTGTTCCACAGCAGTTTCATCACCAAATATGGCTTGTAGCTGATCAACTAACATAGCTGCTACAAACAAACCAAATAGTAGGCTTTCCACTAATACGAGGACTGTGTGTAATCTAAAAGGGAAGAATGGTTCAAAATTAATGCATTGATTCAATAAATAAAAAATTTCATTATTATTCTAATAAAAATACTCACATTCGACTCTGGCGGACTGTTATGTCTATAGGGCAGCTTGGACACTCTTCCATCCACGAAGCCATCACAAGAGCTACAGCATATACTACTAAAACAGCAACATACATCAGAAACTGCAGAAAGTATTTTTGATTCTTTTCTCCAACACAATTGTTAATCCTGAAAGAAAAATATGTATAAGGGTACAGTATCCACTGTCATGCAAAGATCATTTAAACTTCTCTGTCAAATTACATACCAAGGGCAATGGTGATCCATACGACGAATGCATCTTTTGCATATTCGACAATGGTGCGCCCTGGGTGGCCTGTAAGTCTCACAGCGGGTGCAAACTGTCCAGTCCTCTTGTTCAGTTCCATTGTTGCAATCTAAAAGAAATATTCAGGGTACACAGATTAAAGAAACTTCTATGAGATCTGATGTAAATGAAAATTAATACCGTCAATACCTGAATGAATGTCTGAGAAATCCATCCTATTGTGAGGCAGTGGGACTGTGCCCGGATCAGAGCACATTGCCCGAAAATGCGCCAATGACGCCAGGAATGCTATTGTATTAAACATGACCATGTGAAAGGACCCCCACAAGCTGGAAAGAAAATATCAAGTCATAAACACAGCCAAAGTAAACAATTCTTAGCAATACAGTATAACTTAACAGAATGTTACAGGACATGTAAAACGGTTATTTCAATTAAAATCATGAGATGCAGGGTATTTTATTCGTATGGCCAAAAAAAGAATCTATTGGCAATTTTTTTCGAAATAAAAGATAACAATTACGAGACAGCTACTGCGATAATGACAGCAGAAGATGCTTAAAAGGAGGTTAGGTCCTGTCAAAAGATTAGTTATACCTGTTCTGCATTGTTTGGAGGATCACCCATTTTACAACTACGTAGTCGGCATAAAAAACGGCTAAGTACGTCAAAACGATGCAAATGATTCCACATGGGTCTCTCAATAAGAAGAACATAACTGTAGTTAACCAAACTTCAAGAATCGAATGCAAACACAAATGTCAACACCAAACCGCAGTCGCAGTCTGCGTTCCGACGGGGCGTCACTGTCCGCGTCTGAGTCGGAACGCCTCCATTTCAATGTTTGACAGGGACGGTTCACGTGGCCCTTAGAGCTCGGTGATATTCTATACTCCAGATAAATTTATGAATCATAGTTTAAATCAAGTATTCTGACACCAATTTTTCTCACTGCATTTCAGAAATTTCGGATGCGTTGTCGTCTGCAAGTAGCCTCGCCGCGGCACAACCCGCTATGCGGATACGAATAGCAATATGATTTCTCGTCTGCAATGAGGACCTTCCCTGCATTTTTCTGCTGTCGTCTTGTTCTGTTATTGTTTGTTTGAGATGAATTTGTAAGCATCATAGTACATTGAAACTGAATAGCACGCTGCTATTCGACGTGAACCGTGCAAAATATTTAACCTACAATGTTTGACAGTTTCAGAGATAAAATCCAATCAGTTCAGGAGGGCATTTCTGCAAGGTACTACCAGGTCTAACCTTTGAGACTATGCTGTAAACAGTGGCCTGACGCCCTGACAGACATCAACCGATAACGCCGAAAACCAACCAACCTGTCATCGTTTGTCTATTTTCCAGCTTCCACAGAATTTCCTCAGGAGAGACGTCTCGTCCCATTGAATACAGGAGCGTCAATCTTAATGCGGGAGCTGAAATTTTGCAGCGATACCAAACCGAATGGCACGATGGCCATCAATTGGCGGAGGAAAATGCAGCCAAAGCTCAGGTGTGTAATGTCTTATTTAGATTCTATCTGATATATATTTTGTCACTTGACAAACTATTTCTTTACCATTGTTTTGCACTTTGTATAGTTTCACATAAGCCGTAATACTGATGTTTGGTTTTCTTTTTTTAGGCTATTGATGAAGTAATTGGCAGTCTCCATGCAACTTTTGAGAAGCAATGGACTGGTATAACTCAGTTAAATACTACTATGGCAGCAATTCCTAAAATTATATCATCCACACAAACGTTAATGGAACACTTAGGTGAGGATAAATTGTGACAACCCATTTCCAAGCGGGAAGCATTGTTAAAAAGTACTTAAATCAAAATTTCTCCGAACAGGAAACCTTCAAGAATTATTTGATGAAGTGGAACACAATCTTCTGCAGCTAGAGGATGTAGTTGAGACACAAGAGCATCAGGAGCGTCAACTAGATCATCGTTTCCAATTGGCTATGTACAAAGAGAAAAAGTTGCAGGAACTTGAAAGAGTTAGAGGTTTGTCTCAACCCCAGAGTTATCATCTTCTTCATTTTAAATTTTATTTTAACTATGTTTCTTTTTTTTTTCTGTTGCCTCAGAAAGCCTGGTGAAGGAATATGGAGAGAAAATGGCGAATTATGAAAGAAGACAGTGTCAAACCATGAAAGAAAGACAAGAAACCTTCGGACAAGTTTTCCAAGAAGATCTAGAACAGTTTAAGCAGTCTGGAAAATTACCAGGTGAAATTTAATGACATTTTAAAGATAAAACTGTGGATACTGTAATGGGCCATGTTTGTCACAGCTTTGTTATAATTTGGTTTTATGTGTTGACAGTTACTCCCATCAAGTCAGCACAACCTGGTCCATCTTTGGAGGAAGTCACTCTTGATGATGACTCTGTCGCATTAGATAATTTTCTAGGGGAAAGCCAAGCGTGAAGAAAACTTCTTAATGTTTTGAAATGAAATACTGTAATTGTTATGTTCCATAATTTTCTGTTATTTCTGTGCTGTGAAAAATTGTTTAACTTTGTCTCCTGTTGTTTTGTTATGGGGCATGGAGAAAATTTTGAAACAAAACTCTCTTGCACTGACTGATTAACAAGTAAGAGGCTATCTTTCCATCGTATGCTGTGCCTTCCTTCAACATGGCATTGTTCATACATTCCAAAGTAAGTGATAACATGTCCAATTTGCTCATTCTCTCATTTTTGTCAGAGTAATTCTTATTAATTTTTGTTTTCAAGTCTCCCCTATGGAGTGCTTAGGCGTGCACATTCGAATTTTGAATCGGAAGCACCCAAACGTGTTGTTTTCTCGTTGACATTAATGAATACAGATTATATTTATCTAACCACCTCGACTTGCTTCACTTTGACTTTGACCCCCCGACGCGCACGTGCGACCGTGCGGGTACTTTCCCCTATCCTCGCCGCGCTCCCTGCAGCACCCTGCAGCAGACTGATTCCGATCACTGCTCCCGTCGGTCTGTCACTCTCCGACCCTTACGAGACGCCCCACGAGTGCGAGAGAGACAGACTGACGAGGGCAGTGCTCGGAATCAGTCTGCAGCCAGCAGCGCCGCGCGGCTTCCGTTTGCGGTGCAACAATGCACACGGGGCGGGGCGCAGCGCCATCACGTTTATTTTGGGCTGGGTCCGGCTGGGTTCGGTGCAGACCGGGGGAGGGGGAGGGAGGGGGCACCGCAAGCCGTTCGAGCCCCGCCGCGGCCCCGCCTGGCCATCTGCGCCCGCCAGGCATGAGTCTCCTTGTTGTGCTCCCGGCTTTCCACAACACGGCTGCGCAGGGCCACAGGGCACCGCAGCCTGCCTCCTAGTGCTGTCGGTGCTGTCCTTGACGGCGGCGGGGTGGAGGTGGGTGGCGGCGGTGCCGCGCCGGCATTCCCCGGTGCTGTGGTGCTGTCTGCTGTCACTGAGTGCCGGGCCCGGCCGCCAGATGGCGCACGCCGCGTCTTCCCGAAGCTCTGCAGCCTTGCCTTGCCGTCGTCGTCGCCCTGCAGAAGAAACCGTCCTCGTTTGCCAAGCCATGTCGCTGCGGCTCTGCAGACTGATTCCGAGAGTCGTTTTCGTGGCTCTGTCTCTCTCGCACTCATGGGGCTCTCCACGAGGGTGCGAGAGAGACCAGCGACAAGCCGCCTCTTCTGAACCGCTCGGCTCGGGATACAATGGACCAGCCAGGAATTCGGCATTCGGCGAACGCTTGTCCTTGTTCTGCAGCTGCCTTAGCTGGCCGATGCCGACCGGGCCTTCGCCGTCGCGGCGAGCGGCGAGGCCCTTGCCCGCCCCGTTGGAGCCCCAAGTCCGAAGAGCCGCCTGAAGGATCGTTTCGTCGCCCTGTCTCTCTCGCACCCCTCGTGTACCCCTCGTGGAGCGTAAGGGTGCGAGAGAGACTGGTGCGGGCGTGGCGGCGTGCAGCAGACCGCTTCCGAGGGCCTTTTTCGTACGTTTTCGTCACTCTCTCTTTCTCGCACCGATTCCGGACGCGCCTGGAGTGCGAGGGACGCCGAGGGACGAAAATGACTCTCGGAATCAGTGTGCTGCTCGACGTGCGCCGTGACCTCATTCGCCCTCATTTCCTGCTCCAGAAGATGGAGAAGATGGGAGGAGAAAGGTGTGCTACGCTGCTACGCCATCGCCGCCCCCCTCCCCGCCCTCCCGGCCCCGCCGGCTGCTATCGGATCATTGGAGGTGCTGCCATGCCGGGGCCGGCTTGGCCCGTCCACAATCAGCCCTGAAGGCTGATCCTGGGAGTCGTTTTCGTCTCTCTGCCTCTCTCACTCCTATACGGGACGCCCCATGAGAGGGAGAGAGACCTCCCCCTCGGAATCAGCCAGCAGTCCCGGAAAAGCTGCTTCATCGGGGACGTGTGTCGTGCCGGGCGTGAATGGAGCGGCGCGACCGACGAGTACGACGCGGACCTTATCAGCGCGCCGCCCCTATCGGTGTGCTGCCTCGCCGGGGGAAGTCCCAGCGCCGCTTTCCGGCTTGCCGCCTCAACGGCCTCAACGCCGCGTCGCACGGCGTCGCATGCGGTCCATTCATTTGAGTGTAACGATGGCGGATACTTGCCGCCGGATTTGGAAAAGGCGCTCGAGCCGCCTGCCGTTCCGACCGCGGTTCCGACTCCCTTCAGGGCCCCCGCCCCGACGGCGGCATGGTGGCGGGCTGCGGCGCGCGGTCGGACTCCGATATCGCCTTTTAAAATTAGAAAGTTGCTTCCAGATGGTGCGGGAGTCTTGAGTCTTGCCACGGACGCTAACGTGCGGTGGGGCCGCCGCCTCCAAGCGCCTCCCGCCAGCGTGGCCCCTTGGGCCGGGGAAAGGGGTAAAGAAGGGGGGGGGCGTCGAAGGGGCCGCCGGCGTGCACGGGCGTGCCGCACGCGAGGGAGGAGCGCAGCCGCGGACGCGCGACGCTACGCGACGCCATGGCGACGCCGAGGGGGACCACGAGAGCGACGAGGACAGGCGACGCGGCATCCGGCGGCGTCTCTGGGTCTCTTCTCGGCACCGCCAGGAGCGGTGACCGCCTGGCCGGCGGTCGGCCCGGCGGAGGGGGAGGAGTACCTCGAGTACCACAGCACCGCCGGGCCGGGTACCGCCCCGCCTGCGACAGCGCGACGGAGAGAAAGACGACGCCGTTGGATGCTGCGCTGCGAATCACTCTCATGGTGCAGCACATGGCGATTCTTTTCGCAGTGGAGCTGCAGCAGGCTGCAGGCGCTGCAGGCGTGTCGTCGCGCGCAGCAAGCGCAGCAGCGTCATCGACTCGGCGGCGCGCGGCGACGAAACGTGAGAAGCGGCTGGGCTTTTCGTTTCCGGCCGATGGCTTGCAAAGCAAAGCGACACCGTCTCGGCTCGGCTCGGCTTTTGGCCCTCGGCTTGGCTCCGGGCCGCGGGGCCGAGCTTACCGCGAAACGGGCCTCCGCGGCACTACGCGGCACCGGGCGGAGGGCGGACAGGAGAGGCTCCTCTACACCGTTACTCCGTTCCTTGTCGGGGCTTTCGTTCGACACACGATAACGCCGTCGGCATGCTGTCGGCGCGGCGGAGCGACGGACGGGCCGAGCGGCCGAGGCGCGGCGCTAGCGCCGCCCCGCCGCCCACGCGGCACTCGAGACTCCAGTGTCCTTGCATCTTCTGCTTTCCCATGCGGAGACGCCGGTTTTCCCCGGCATCCGCCCACGCACTCACGCACTGCAGTCTGCGGTCCGCCCGAGTGGACGGCGGGGCGGGGCGGGGCGGGGAGGAGGCGGTCGCAGGGCTTATCGCCGAGCTCAGGAGGCTCAAAGGAACGCCGGCGGCCCAGCGGCCCAGCTAGCTCCGTGTGCCAACTTTCGGCGAGGTCCGCCTGCCAAACGGTCCCCGCGTCCCGCTGGCTGTGCCTGGCTGTGCCTGGCTCTCGCACGGCGAAAAGAGAAAAACGTTTCCTCGCTTTCACCCGGCCTGCCAGCGGCCGGGCCCCCCGGGCCTGATAAGAGGCTAAGGTGCTCTGCAGGCCGCGCTGCCCGCCCGGTGCTGCCTCATGATGGCCGATGGCCGCTCCGATCGGGAATCAGGGGTCCGGCCGGTCCATCCGGTCGGAAAGGCTGAGAGGCAGCGCGGCGTCTCGTCTCACGCGTCAATCCTTGAAGGATGTGCCAAGGACCCCGGCCGCTTCCCCCTCCCGCCCCTCCCCCTTTCCCCGTCAAGAGAGAGGCTCGGCTCGCATCTCAGCCAGCTCAGCGCGCTTCTCCGATGCCTTACTCTGCCTTCCCCTCGCCTCGCGTACACTGACCCCGCCCCTGGCCGCAGGCCCCGCGGGCCGTACCCATAGGCCCCTGCTGCCATGCTGCCCCTGCCATGAGGCCATCCCGGCCGTCGCGTCCGTCCGCAGCCACCTCGCCACAAGACACGTATATCATCGCCAGGACTCAGGACTCGGCGCGCTTGTCTTTAGGAGGGCTGACGGCGTGGTCTGGCTGCGTTCCGCTGCGTTCCCCTTCCCCACCTTTCCCCGCGGCCAGGCGAGCAACTCCCCGGGCGCGCCGGGAATGCCCCTGCCCCAGCGCCGCCACTGAAGGCCCAATCGCGGCCCTCCAGGACCCCTTCGGCCGACGGGGCTGCTGCGCCCGCACTCGGAAATCCCGATCTTTCCTCCGATAGACAGGACGAGCCGGGCTTTCGGAAATTGACAAATCCTTCCATTGAGAAATCGGGCGGACCTCCTGCGTGGAGCGCCCGAGTCTGGTGCTTTTCGGTTTTCAAAGTTGCCTCTCGCGAGTCACGGCCTCCTACGTTCACTGACGTCACACCAGTATTTCGCTGTTTAACTTCCGATTGCGAGCCGATGCGAGGCTCTGGACGGTAGGATAATGTTCCAGTAGTCTGGTTTTACAGTTTAAAGTAAGCTGCGGTGGCGTACCGGCTGGGAACGCCTCCAAAATCCCAAGCAACGCTCGGTTCCTGCCACGCTAGCGCCACCTATAGGGGAGCATCTGAAGCTCCCTCGTGCCGTAATCCATTCACTGCAGTCCAGGAGGTCGTGGTCGTGGTCCGATAGTCTGATGTATTCCTTGTCTAACAATGAGAGGTGATAGTGACAAAAAAGTTTTAAGAGTTGTCAACGACAGGAGAAACTAGATACAGGCCGATACTAATGACAGAAACACAACTGTGATGGTGCAAGGAAATATAAGAAGTTTCAAAGATAATAGAAAGCAATATGTGCAGTGTTCCGCAGAAGTTTTATGAACTCTGTCGTCTTTGTTTATCCTGTGATGGTGTGAAACTGTCTATTTTCGACGATGAGGGTATACAGCGCAACTTTCCTCTCAAAATTATGACCTGTCTGTCAATTGTGGTAAGTTTCTGGGTGTCGTATCAGCTTGTACCTGTTCTTTAGGACAATTTAGAGTGTATATTTGGTCGCCGTGTTATGTGTGATGGTTCTTTGAGGGCTGTCCTACTTTGGAAGGTGCGATAAGATAACGCAGCGATAAGCCGCCATATCAGCCTTTTAAATGGAATAACCGATAAGAGTCAGCTGCTTTTATCGCGGAGCGGGCTCGGCATGTTCCCTCCTACCCCAACAATTGCTTTAGTACGGATCTGTTGACGTTTTGGCCACACAATCTAGGCAAATGTACACACCGGACGCCTGGCCGAAGTGTGCCTATACAGGAGGTTATGTGGCCGCCCAGGGTTTACTCACGATTTCCGAGAAAGCGAGCTTGAACCGCGTATGACTATTCTTAGAAAGTGTGATGCCACCGCAGTGCCTGTCATCGGTCGTTCTTCGGTGCGACCGAATTGTGAATGGTGATGGACGTACAGTCGCAAGACTGTCATCTCAGAGTAATGGAGATATGAAACTTTTCACCAAGTGTGGTTTTCTTAAAGTTGTAACAACTCACTGGAAAATCGACCAATTTTTATACTAGAAAGAACATTGACTGTAAATGTAGATATTAGAAGATAGGTAGAAAAGAAGTTTCCTACTGTCCCACAACATCCTTCCCACTTTTCATTTAAAATCATCAAAATAATTATTATGTCTCTCTGTTTCTCAGGTATCAGAGCAAGATCTTTTACCTCCATTGGTTTGTCAGCGTTGTGTGTACAAATTAGATGTGCTTCATGATTTCCGGGAAGGAGCAAGAAAATCTGATGCCATTCTTAAGCAATACCTAAACTATGCAGAACAGGAATCGTCTAAAGTAAGTTTCTTTAATTCATGATTTTTAACAAGCTTAACTAGTTTATGTATTACACTTTACTTTATTTAAACTCAATTTTATAAAATTTTCAGGATTTACATCATGAAGAGCTTCCATTGCCAAAACCTATAGATCTTAACTCTAAATATGGCTCCAAACTGAATAAAAGCCTATTTGAAGAAAGAGCTCCTTCGCCAAAACCTCTTGATTTTAAGAAGAATGGAATTGTCGCGCCATCGAAGGATGAAGGCAGCCCAAAGAACAGGAGCCCAATTCCTGGATCTGAAGCAACAAGTGACTTGCCAGGAAAACATAATAACCAAGCTGATGATGAGTACTTTGATGATGAATGCAGCAACAGCTCCAGGTTGGTTGTAGCTGAGGGTGAGGAGGGTGAAGAAAGTCAGGGTGAATGCGATGTTGAGAATGGAGTGATTAAATCGACTGGCAGTGGAGTGACTGAAAATGGAGAACAAAGTGACGGTGTTGGGCTTGACATGTCCACAAAGCGTGAGGACCGCCGACAGAATCTGCAGGATAGACAGACCGTAAATGAAAAGGTTATTCATATGGATGTAAAGCGTGATATGTAAGTACATTTGCGATTTTTTTCCCTCTTACTAGCGAAATTGTTTTTCTACCACTAGTGGAATTAATTGGACAAATCCCACTTTTAGGGAACCAGCCAGTCCAGATTATCTCTCCAGGCCCTTGCTTGAACCTGAAGTTCAGCTGAAAGAGGACAATGGCCATGTTTGGACTTCCCCGTCGAGGTAGTGCTATACTAGTTAATTGTGTTAGCAATTATCTTTGCATGAAATAATAATTTGTAATTTAATTTCAGAGCTGATGAGCAAGACAATGCCTCTGGAAATCTCCTTCGTTCATTGATTACCAACCGTAATGAGCGATATCAGCCTCCACCCACATCGTCTTCTTCACCTTCTCCTTCCCTGTCTTCATTTCAACAAACATTGCAACGTTCATTTCTCAAAAAGAGCAGTGAAATTTTGGCCAAAGCACTTTTGCATGGACCTGCACCAAAGAACTTCCATCATGTTTCTTCTACATCGTCACCTGCTTCTCATCCCTATGATGTTCTTTCTCATGCAGCCGATGGACAGGTAACAAGCTTATAAAAAGTAATGATGCTGAACCAAAACTATCTAGGGCCTAACTATTCAATTGTCTCTCTTCAATCAGCACCCAGATCCACCCAAAGACCACATACCACTCCTTATTCGTAACAATGTGAGTGTTTTCCCGGTTGCTGCTGGGCGAACGCAGGGGTGTGGCAGGCGCAAACAGAGTTACCCATCAAGAGCTTCTGATGCATTGGCAGTAGCAAGTCCTTCCTGCAGAAGGTAAGGCTCCCTTGATGACTCAGCATTGCACAACTTTGATCTAGCTTGCAAGTTTTTCATTTAAATTTTTTTTTTCAGCCCAGTGAGTTTGACTCAAGAAGCAGCAGAGGAAGAGGATGGAGTTGATGGAGGAGATGCCGAAGACGATGTTGAGGAGCCAATGGAAGAGGGAGAAGAAGGTGAAGAAGAAAATGCAGAAGCTCAAGATGCTAACAATTGGTCCAATTTTCCTGGGGTAGTTAAGTCTGGCAAAGTAAGTGGACAGCTTTCATTTGCTTTTGATATTTAAAACATCAGTTCTCTTAAGTGATAAACCATATTTTTCCAGCTTGCTGCTCGGCGTGTGGATTTGTCATGTACAAACTGTGGTACAATGACTACAACTATTTGGCGACGCAATCCACTTGGGGAAATGGTGTGCAATGCTTGTGGCTTGTATTATAAGTTGCATGGGGTTAACCGCCCTGTCACCATGCGGCGTGATACCATTCATACAAGGCGCCGTCGGCCTAAAGGAGAGAAGTCTCCTCGTCATCGCAACAGTAAGTAGAGGTGTTGTGTTGTACATTTTATCAAGTGTTCTGAATGAAGCAAATCTTTTCAATCTTTGATTACTTTCGTAACAGAAAATAAACAACCTCCTGTTTCTACAAGTGGAAATGGAGTTGCAAGTGCTAATGCTCAAAGTGGGAACAACGTCACTCCGAGGTCCTCAGCTGTAGAAGATCATGATGAAATGTTGGCTGCATTACGTCGTCAAATTCAGCCACATCTGATGCTCGCTGCTCTTCAGCACAAGAATAACAACAGCTCAGCAGTAGCCAATTTGGCACTACAGCGACATCAGCTGAATCTTCCATCTCTTTCGCAGCCAAATGTAGTCCGAGCTCATGCAGCATCTCCTTACATTTCAGTGCCAAACTATGCCACAGTCCAAGTCAAAACTGAAGCAATGAACTCGGGAGAGAAGGAGTCCTCCAAGAATTTGGCTGATGTACCGCTCAACCTGGTTGCTTCAACTCAAAGCGATTGATACTTATTCCAGGGATGTTCCTTCTTATGAATCAAGTCATGAGTTCAATGATGTCCTCTTTTCTGAGTTTACTATGTATATTATATGTATATGTGATCAGTATTGTTTATTACAGCAGGTCCATACTAATTTCAAGTCAAGGTTGCTAAAAGATAATCTCACTTCAGTGCCTTGTGGTTTGATTTGGTAGTTTTGTTTGTATGCCATTGTATCAAGCCTGTCAATGTTCCTTTCTTAGAGTATTTTGTCTGGCAAGTATTTTGATGGCAGTGTAAAATCTCTCTTTAGTACATTTTTCTATTTCCAATTTAATGGACTGTATGCAATGTACTTGGACAACTCGGATCAGTATTTGCAAGAGGCTGCAGAATTACTCCTACAATCATAGCATTGTAATTTTTATTCCTTTTAAAAGTTATGTGTGTTGTCACACAATGTTATCTGTTTTCTGTGTTGTTTCTAAACAACTTGTTATTGAGGGACACAGTCTGCTCTAAAAATTGGAATCAGATACAGGGTTTTTAAATTATAAATATTTTAGAGTATGTATTAATGATAATACTCATTAGAAATTATGATCAAGAGCCGATTGCCTCGACCAAAACTGTACCTGACTCTTTGGAAATAAGTGATTTGCCTTTAAATCGTGATAACATTTTGGCTTTTCAAATTTTTTTTCTCTTTTCAACAATGTACCAAGTACTATTAGTGGCATCATTTATGTTGCACATGTGGCTTCTAAATCGTTGCTGCAAATTTTAGTTACCTAGACTAGAAAATCTTTTTGCTTTGGACTATGTTCACATTTATTTCCTTGTCATTGCTCTCGGCTCTCCTGATCATGGTGTTTATTCTGTTGCTTTAAATTATTAAGAATACTGTTTTTAAAACGTTCATGACACAATTTTTTTTGTTTGTTTTTTCTTTGTTGTGATTGAAATACTGCATCTTCATGCATTTTGTTTTATCTCTCTCTTTCTTGTTGCCATGAACATTCAATGGCAAAAGATTCTTTCAATGAGGAGGCAATAATTTTTCTACTTTTGAGAATTTGCTGTGATTTTGGTAGAAACTCAGTATCATACATTCAAGGCATCTGCATCTGAGTGAGTGTGTTGCCTGTAATTTACTTGCTTGGAAAATTTCTCATGCCTTGCCTCCCCTGTAATTTTGGTTTTATCACAAGTCTTAAATGTGAAGGATTAAAGAAAGGGATATTCTTTTTAGATAGCAAATGTATACGTGTAAAGATATGGCTTAGTTTTGGACTATTCCTTTTGTTTATGTTTTAGTTCCTCTCCTTTTTGTTTTGCATTGCTGTTATGCAATTCTATGTAGAAATCATGGATGCATGGTCATGTATTTACAGTTTGGCTATGGTTCCAACTGCTTTCATGCTCTCTATTTTGTGACCTCTTCTCAAGATTTTCAGTCTTTTGACGCATCCCATTCTCATTTTTTATCATTAAAAGTTCAACTTTTTTCATTCTTTGCTCTCTAAATTTTTGTCTCATATTCAATTTTGTCTTATTGACCTCTCACTCAGTGTTGGTTAATTGTGACTGGAGTCTTTTATATCTTGGCAGGCATTACTTTGTGAAACTGTCTCAATTGCTTTATTTTCATGCTCTTTATTAGACATTATTTGGTGAAGCCTTATGTTGCCATTACTTTTGCGAAAAATCTGGCTTGCGACTCATGACCATCTGATAAAGTCCTAAACAGTTACTTAAGATGAAAATTTGATGTGTGTAATAATTTGTGATAAACATTTTTGTACTGTGTCTCAAAGAATACTCTAGACTCACACTGTCTTAAAATTTCAGTATTGATTAAATGTAGTGTTTTTAATGAAAGAAACTTAGTGCCTTGAAATACCTTTTATGTGCAAGACAATAACCTAATGTTAAAATGTGGTGATCTTACACTTGATGTAACATTGCATCCACACCCTTAAACAGTAATGTCTTTGTTTGAGGAAATGTTTTACCTGTGGAAGTCATGGTTACTTTGTATTGAATTGTCAAGTTTCTTATGTACAACTCCTCTGAATAGTTGTGCCTTGATTATCTGCTCTCTCATTTTGTGCGTTGCTCTCAGGGATAGACGCAAGTCATTCTTATTTTCATGTTTACTGAGGAGGCAATATACAGATTTGTTAACTTGTCATGCTGATGTCATACCTTTTGTCAAGGTCTGTTCCAAGAGAGTTTTGTTATTAGCTTTTAGTACTGTGTGTCTTTGATTCTCTTGCTTGTTGTCTTAACTTATTTTTTTTTGTCTTGTTGCCATATTGGACAGCATGCTCAAAGCTTCATTATACTCTTATGTGGGAATGACTTTTCATTATTAAAACACTAGGAATACAACTTCATCAACAATTGTGTAATTAAGGTATCTGTGTGTTGTGCTGCATCTAGTATGTCCATTGCAGTAGTTGTTACTGAACTAAGATGACCTCCGTATGTATTGGAAGTTTACCTTACTAATCAAAGAAAACAAGGAGATTTCGTTCGTAAGAGCAGTTATTTTTATGATGATCTGAAAATTAAGAAACTTGTTTTTCCATTTTACTTCTTATGCATTTTCCTCTTGGACACTGAAAATAGCTTGAGTGCTCGTGTGCCTTATATTTGAGCAAGGATTGTGTGTATTATAGTAGAATATGTGCCTACTTAAGAACCTAGTTGTCAACTATTGTTGTAAGGGTTTCTGTTCAGTGTGATATACGTTATTCGATTCAGTCTTCTCACAGGAATAGTTCTTGGTTGAAATCAAGGCCATCAGTTAAATTGATATTTTGTTTAGTGTGAGATGTACTTCATGCAGCTGACAGTAACCATGACTATTGGAGGCATAGTTGTTCTGCCATTTACTTCTGGGTAATGCAAGCCATATGCAATGCAACTGCTCTACTTAGGTGCCATTTTGTTAGGGGCATCTGGACTTTTGTAGCAGTATCAAGTGTCTGAAACAAAGTTTTGTTGCATATTTGACATGGCTGGTTCTCACTTTCAATCCACTTAAGCATTAATCCACTGTAGACATGCTCAATATTTACTTCTTCGTTAGATTCAATTTAATTTTTGTGATCAAAGTTTTTAAAATGACACTCCAGTAAGACATGATGCAATTGCACTCAAAGCCTGACCCCTCTGATTCAGGATGTGAAAGTGAAAGCCATGGTGTTACAGACTGACTAGTTTTAATAAGTGTCCAAACTTGGAGTGTGAAACCTCCGAAGCCCTCTTTAATTGTTTCAGTTTTGAAATTTTTGCCATCTACACTCAGTTAACAGGAAATGCTGGTTACTTAATCTGAATTCAGTATGTTGCACATCTCCAATGAGCTATGTACAAATTGGGTCTCTCTTTTTTTTTCAAATGTTGTTTTTGCCTCTTGTATGTACATAGTACATAGTTACAATGTTTACTTAGCACCAATACTCAACCCCTCTGACTTTTCGCATGAAAATTTTCAGAGTCTAATTTTAGTTTATAGTGTTTTCAATTGAGGCTTGCTATAAATTGGCCATGTTGTGTGATTTTTTTTAAAGAAAGAAATTGAGTGAGATATCTATTTATGTGTGGGTTTTTCTTTTTTTTAACGATCTTGTTATGTTACGTTGTGTAAGTTAAATTAATGCTTGTTTTCTGTACTACCTAATATTTAAATCCTTTTTTTCTTTTATTTATTTTTGGGTAAGTAACATAGCAATTTAAGGCTCATGTTTGAAAAGGTTACATGTTGTGAAATACAGTCTTCAAGTGGGAAGTATTCAAATCATTTCTTTATCGGATGTTATAAAATGTTATGTGATTTCTGCTGCTGTTCCAGATTAATGGCATGTGTCCTTTTTAAATTATGTATATTCATTAGTTCATTCATTCATTCATTCTTATTTATTTTTCTCATGCGCTATAGAACAAATGTTCCTATTAAGGAGAAAGCAAAAATCAGTATTATTTTTATTGTTGTTTTATTCTTGTATAATTTCATGACACGCTTTAGATCTGGCACACATTTTTTAAATCATTCAGTTGGCTCTAGCCATAACATAACAAATACTTAACTACTTCCTTCTCTGTTGCCTTGCTGTACTTCTGAGGTGTTCTGGTGTATGGAAAGCGGTGTAAAATCAACTTTCCTGTTTTGTCAGAAAATTATGTCACTACTTTTATCCTTAATCTGGAACAGCATCTGTTGTTGAGCTTTTGCTCGTAATGTGTTAAACAAAGTGTTTGATAGTATTGACAACAATTAACAATTGTTGCACAAAAGTCTACTTAACCTTTATTGTTGGACTTGTGGTGTTATTTTTCTAAAAGAGAATATAACAATGTACTTCAATGTTATTTATTTTTGTTGTTCTTGTAAAATCATGTGTCCTCTCACAGCAATGGTCATCATTGTTCATGGCATTCTTGATTTCTAAACAGGTCTTCATAAAATTGAAAATGTGTCTATATTGATAGAAACTTTCAATTTACTCATGTACTTACATTGATGTTGGGATTTGTCTTTCTTCATCAATATGAAAGGAAGACATTCAAAGAGAAATACAATTTCAGTGAACAAATGATAACCGTAATATCAAAGAAGCATAATATTATAGTGTAATGACTTGGAATCTGATGAATTTTGTTTTGCATTTATGTTTTCATAAAATGTTGACAGCCACTGTTGCTTTGAAATCCTGTTGCAGGTGTTGTGAAAGAAGGATGATAAAAGATCTCGAGCCACCTCTGTATTTATTTATTTATGTACGATGTTTGTTGCATTTGATACTTCTATGAGTTGAAACGATTTGTTTTAAATTATTGTGGGTTGAGTTTTTAATACCATTAAACTGGTTAACATTTTCTCTTGGTTGAAGTTTATAGACTTAATGTGGTAATAACACGGTTAACTAAAAAAAGAGTTTTTGAAGGAGTTTTGTTCTTTTTATAGAAGAAAATAGTTATAGTTAACTTGAAGACTCACAGGAATGTAGGACTGACGAGTAGTTATTATTAATAAAATAAAATTAAAAAAAAAGTGTTGGTACTTTTACATTTTGTTGTTCTGAACCCTCTCATATTATTGAAAACCCAACTGAAACCCTTCACCGTCAAAACAATTGGTCATAACATAAATAGAAAGAAACCAAACCAACCAATTCCCCGTCGTTTGAATTTTCAAGCTCAAAATCAAGGGGACAGTTTTCCCGTACCATTTTGTGGCGATACTGTTCGGCAACACAACTTACGACCCACTTCGAAGAGTTCACGCAGTTGACGGCGTTTTAAAGAGCCCGCCTCTTGCAGACAACATTTCCCCTCCCCCTCCCACCTACCTCACCCCCCCCCCCTCTCGCCCTTTGACAATAACAACAACAGATTTGAGAGTTGCTCGGAGATGAACGAAAAAGGTTTTAATTTCTATTGGGAAAACTATTACAGGGCCTATGAATGGCAACAAAACAGTAATGTTTCACATTGGAAAGCCCGGGTTAAAGCATTGGAGGTTGAAAATTCCCTGCTGCGAGATTTCATCCACCGTGGGGTATTATAACCTGATAATTTCTGTAGTGTTTTTCTTTTGACCTTTGAGAAGATTGCTACAAAAAATTGATTTCCACATTTGCTTAACAGCTACAACCCACGGTCGAGCATGGGTGTGTCGTTGCTAGTCCCTGTGGTAAGAATAATAACCTATCTTATTCTTAAATCTGTCTGTTGTAGTTCCACAAGCATTGACACAAATTCTTTTTATGGTAGGTGTTCGGAATAGTGTGATAAAAACTACTGAAACTCATTCAAATGGAGACGAAGACCAAGAGGATGGCGTTTCAATGTATTCAGAGTCTGAAATTGACGAAGAACTCTTAGCCTTTTATGAAAAGACAATTCGTCACAAGATAGAGCGCAGTAAGTGTTTAACTTGGTATCGCTTTGTCGTTTGAGACAATTTTGTGGCTCTTTACGGTACCCTTTTCTCACACTGTCTCTATATAGCTTACAACCATTTATACAAACTAATCTTCTACAGAAAAACTTCAGTCCATGGAGCAGATGAGTGATGACTGCGAAAGTGATGCTGGTGAGTAGACATTTCCTCGTCCCCTTACATGTTAGATGTCATGGGGATCGGCTATCGAGAAAAGGTTTTAGCTGTGCTTTAGTTCCTTTTTTAGGCTTGGTAATTAAAACCTGAAAATTTCGCTCGGAAAACCACTCTATTGAAAAGTTAATTAGCTTTTACTCTTGTGAGTTACACATTTGGCTGCATTTGTACAAAAATTCAATAAGGAACTTTAAGACTATTCTTTTGGTTTTTTGAACAAGGCTTTTCAACTCATTTAAAGCACAGCATAAAAACCAATTATTAGAAAATGACTGCTCTCAAGTGCCACTGATATTACTAACTCCTCCTTTTGTTTTATTTGTATAGAGAAAGTCTATTCTATGGGGCCTATTTCTTCCTCTCATAAGTCAAAGGATATGGCTCTATTGTATGGAAAAGATGCACCTAAGATATTAAGTATGGAGCTGTCGATGCAAATTAATTTTGACATGAACCACAACAAGTCTAATGCACAGTTATGGCCTAACATACCTCTTAGACTCTCAAGATGATGTATTAAATTTGTTAACAATGAAGTCTGACTGTTCATTAATTTTAAGTCTTCCTCAGTGGTTATGATTTTATGGGTTTTACTCACTGTGTATGTAATGTTTAAATAAGCAATAAAATAATAATTCTATTTAAATTTTGCAACAGAAGTGTTTTTGTTTTTTTAATATCACATTATAAACATATACAAAATATTAGTGCCTCAGTAAATATTACAGTGATTCATAGATAGGATAAGTGATCACAGAGTTTCATACTCCTAAAAGTAGTGCTAATGTAAAAGTCTTTGGATTATTAAACATTTCCTTTCATAGAGCTACAGCAAAGGGAAGCCCGAGAGCAAGGCATGAAATAATATACAATTAGTTCCTCTCTGATGGTAGGTTCAACAAATACTCAGGTCAAAAAAGGCATAATATAAAGAAAGGCAAACAAAATGTTTTTTCCAGGAACCCATTCTATGACTATTAACTAGAAAAACTGAAGTTGGCTGTATGTAATCTCTTCTCACAAGTACTGGAGATTGATACCTCGATCAAAGGCAACTTCTCCACCTAATGCTCCAAGGGTCACTGTTTCAATCGAAGAGTCATGCTCCGCGTGAGTGCTAGCATCCCCATCATCATCTTCAATGTCATCGTCTTCAGAGTCTCCAGCAGTTGCATTCAAGGGTTCTAAACCAATTATTATTCTCACTGCATCCGGCAGATTGCTCTCAATACTGAGAAGTTGGGCATACAATCCTTCTGCTTTGCACAGAGTGCTGTCGATGTTTATAGTCATAGACAGTTCATTTACATGCTGCAAGGAATTGATATTATGTACTAAATGATAGGCAGACATCAAGGCGCACAAAATATATTCATATCTTAGTTATTGTTTCTCCTACCTTCAATATTTCTGTGAAGCCTGAATTATTAGCATAGAGTGTCTCCTTTTCAGAATCAAGAATGGCAGCACAGAATAAAAGGTGGAAGTTGGGGCATGGCAAATCTGACCAAAACACCTAGAAAATAGTGAAAAAGACATTCACGGTAATTTATGTGCTAAAAATATTTTTTGAAATGCATTAGATTTATATCATCATGATACTGTATAATAAACTCAACGTACCTCCCATAAGCGCATGATATCCTCCTGAGAAAACTCTCTCTTAAACAAGACCAGTAACCAACGGAAACAGAAAAACATGTTGCCTGAATCATGTCGATCTAAATATTGAGTGAATTGAGGATCAAGCACAGACAGTAAGGTGTGCAACTGTTGCAGTTGCAGCTTCATGCCGGCCTGGTCCATATCAAAATTAGTGCACTGTTAAGAAATCAATCAGCTGTATTAGAGAACAAACAACTAAAAGAAACAAAACGAAAAAACGGGAGAAGGAAAAAGTTAACTTACTACTCTCTCCATGAAACCAGCGAAGCACCAAAACGTGTCAGCTTCATTTGACATTAACTGGAGTATAGGAGACAAGAGATCACTCATGCCTTGGACGTAGCCCAAGTCAAAGTTGTACATCAGGTAGGTCATAAGTATGCTATTTAACACTTCCACATTTGGGTTATCGTCACCAGCAAAGAAAGGTAGAACCCGATCAGTTCTTTTGACATCCTTGTCTGAAATTTTGAGTCATGGACTGTAACAACACGCCAGCAGTGCATGCACATCTAATGAACAGTTCTTAAACAAATTACTCACCAATTAGACTTTTGCGGTCTCTGAAGTCAGAGAATCTTTCTTCTTGCCCTGGAGTCATACTTTTCCACTGTTGTTTCATTTTGAAATATTCCTCCACCTTTGCTTTTCTTAAATGCATTCTTTCAGCATACGTTGAATTCCATGGATAATATCCAAGTAAAAATTTCCACACTTCATACCGCAGAGTTGGACTTACTCCCTGCAGAAACAAACCAAACAGGGTGATGAACAACACATCAACATTACAACGCTGAACACTCAACATAAACTGCTTCTTTAGAAAAATGGCGAGTTTTTTCTTACCCCATGAAAGACAATTTTTTTAATGGCTGCAAAATCGGTGACTTTGCCCTCCGCATCCATGGCTTGTGCCCAACGGTCAACAGATAATGGAGAGCCTCGAGTTACTAGAGGTCTTGAAGGCAAGACAGGAGTTGTGTGGCTTCCAATTACCTCGTATTCCTCACCACTTACATTTGCAATCACTGGATCATCAAAGTTGTTAAGAGACTGATTGAGCAACTCTGCAACATGGTTTTCATCATCTTCATCATCTTCTGCAGGTCTGTACACTGGAAAACAAATTGTAGATATTAATTAAAAAATCAGTGAAATTTTAAGGAACACCATATGTAGGTGGCAAAGTTACTTACATAATGCGTCAGTTATTTTGCAAAACGCTCCCATGGTGGTTTCATAAGGTCTCTGTCTAAACTGCCCAATAAAGTTCCACATGCCATAAGGTGTGGTTTCTGTGAATAAATTCAACTCTGCAAAGGAGCGCCTTAGCTCCTGTGTCTCTTGGTTGTCATCTTCATCCAAATGGTACAGGTTTTTGTCCTTTTTCGACCTGAGAATAAATGAGCTGTCAGCTAGACAATTAACTTTTTTCCTTGCATAAGAAGTAAAAACAAGGGTAAAATGAAGTCACCTGTAAATTTTCAGATGGCCCATTAAGGATTTTACAAAAATGTCAGCATTTGCTTGATAGAAGATAAAAGTGATGAAAGAGCGGCTTTCATCTCTTTTAGCAAATGTAAGATGTTGCCCATGTCTATGACGAGACACTTTAAAGCTCTTTAAGTTAACTGTGTTGAGCCGTAGTGGTTCTGCACGAATGCATTCTGCAAAGACATTAGTGAGAGAATGAGAGGCAATGAGGTTGCATTGTTATAATAATAATGCATATAATGCAATAATATTGTTTGAAATATGAAAATAAGCCTACCACTGTTGCTCCGATGGCGAGAGCTACGACCTGTGCTCACAACTGCCCACTCTTGATCCTGAGTGTCTGAGTCCACATTAACTTCTGCTGCTTTCCATTCTATGTACTTGACAGGTCCCTAAAACATATAAACATTAAATAAGTCATGAAAGAGCATTTGCAATATGCACAGAATGTGATGAAATAAACTTAAACTGTACTCACATATTGGACAAGGCTGAGGACCCCAAAATTGTCATAATTTTTGTAGCTTTTCAGAATCACATTATGATGACTGCAAAGCTCCTGAAGAATAGAAACAAGAGTAAAGTAGGGGATAATGATGTTTCACCAGGATTTGAAGGATTTGATTTTGGGAAAACATTGGAAAACATTCCCCACATGTTGAATTTTGCAGGTGTGTCTGAGCAAATGGCATCTAAGGAGAGCGTTTCATGAAAATTACAGTTTTCTGCTCGCAATCAAAAGTCAATGAAAGGAAGAACAGAACAGTACACAATGAATACACCGTGGTTGTGAGAGAGGATTAAGGTTAAGTGTTAAAAACTAAACTCAAAACACTGTGCCTATGAGTCAGAACAACGGAAAGAAGATAGCAAAAAAAGTGTTAAAAATTCGATTCAATTAAATAGGCAAACGAAACAATGGCAGAAGTTGACGAAATTCCTTACCGTTCCTTGTTCTCCAGAGTCCTCCATGGTCTCTGTCTTATCTGTTTCTGCTGTCCTTGACAGCTTATCTCCGTTGTTCATTGTTACGGCATCGGTGCCAAGGGCTTAAAGTATCAATTTATGTTCGCGCTCAGGAATGCACGATCGCTCTTCTCTCAAAATTGCACTCTGTGTACACTGTCAAGTACGATGTACGCACAATCACAATGTTTGTGTTTGTGTTGTGTTGTTGTTGTGTCGCCGCAGACGAGTAGACGTGTGGCAGCAGTGACGGAATCGACGGAATCGAAAAAAATCGCGATCGCAACCGCAATGCCGATCACACAAGCTCAAGACTGACTTCATTCAAAAGTTATCTTCTTCTGAAGACCAAAGGTTTGCTTATAAGTCACCCTTTTTCTTTGAGTGGGAGGGGAGGAATATTCTTCATAGTTGGCAAACATGTAGACGACGGAAGCAGCCGAGAACCGAGAGTGATTATTTTATAGCAGACGTTGCAGACAGTCGCAGGTTTGTTCCTGTCTAAAACAAATGGTTCAAGTTCAAGGTTATTGAAAGCAGTAAAACAAATGACAGCAGTGTGCACATACTCAAAAAGAAGCGTTCGTTGCGTCACCTCGAACTTCAAATTGAAGTTCCCGCCCGGAAATGATCTCTCTCTCTCTCTCTTTCACCCACACACAAGTTTTTTTTTCTGCTGTGCCCCCCGCATCCCCCCCCCTCCCCGCCTCCCGCCCCCACCCACTCCACCGTCACCACACTATGCACTATGCTTCCAAAGAACGCTAGACGAACTCCTGTTGTTCAGGCTGTGAGAGCTGATTTGAAGCCTTACTTCCACGCTGCCAAGAGATTTTTAATCTTCGGTGTCGTTGCAGAAATCTCTCTTTTGGCTGCTAGCTACTACGGTTTTCGCGAGCTTAACAATTCCATCGGTAAGTCATAACCTTACTTTAAGCAGAAATCACGTCCCAACTGTTCACATTTTCGCTGATTTTACGTTACTGGGAGGGTTTGTTGTGTGTATTAACCTGTAGATTTAGTCTTTGAGTTTCAAATATTCCCTTTGTCTTTAATTGACTCTTGATACACCATTGGGTTAGCTTTTACCATGTCATTCGTTATAGGCGATGAATTATGTCACTGGCTTATTAAACATTACTGATTTTGCATTTGGTGGGGCCAATAGTTTGATTTTGAGCATTCTGGTTTGTTTTAATGTGTAACACTTTTCTCTCTGCAATCTTGTAGACTAATAGTCATTTTCAATTTTGTTTCAGAAACTCGTCATTATTTTGCCAAGAATTACCCTACTATTTTAGAAGGTAATAATTTTGAATTTTATTTCTTTCCTCTATATATATCCTCAGTAGTTTTGTTACTATCTATTATGTCAACACTCTTTTGGTTTAGGTTATTATTACGTAACTGATAAAGTGGCTGGTCGTAATTTCCGCGAGGAAGACCAAGCCATCTGGTCTCAGGCAGATCTATCTTGGAATCAAAATGAATAAGGCAATCATATCTGGAATAATCTCTTCTGCTGCTTTAAGTTACTTGGTAATGCTAATCCTTAGGCCTGATGAGGTGAAAATCGAGGTGAGCACGGCTTTTCTTCAAAGTTTGGGGCAGAATTCACTTTCTTGATGTTGATAACATAGTCAGACCTCAGATGCAGCAGTTAGCTCTGTTTTTTGTCTTGGTGTGCTTTATGTCATAACTGCTCCTTGAAACTTCTTTAACATTGAATCAATTATGTCTTATGGCTTTTCTCTTTTTGTTGCAGAGTATGGACAAATCTTTTCAAAATGCTAGGAGCAAAGTATCACAAGTTGATGTTTTGAAAGCAGCAGCTCAGAGTGACAAGCCCCTTTACCTGCTTAGCAAGAAAGAAATTGAAGAGCTCGTCTTTTCGAAGGGTGACAAGTGAGCATTTAATGAAATTGTAGTAATATTAGACGAAGAGGAGACATGGAAGCTGCTGCTGCTGACCTTCTTCCTGAAAGGTTGCAAAGACGAGGTCGAGAACTTCAGCTTGAGCGTCAGCGCCAGAAGCAAGAAAGAGAGCAAGAGGATAATAGAAAAGCTGTCAACTACTTCTTAGATCAATTTGCTAAAAGTCATCTTGCAATTGAAAATGATATAAGTAAGCTGGCCAGTGGAATGATAGAAAATTCCCTTATCCCTTCTACAATTAACAAAATCAGCAAGGACATTCAAACACTTCAGAAGTATTTCTCTGCATCAACTATGATTTTATGTTTGCATGATGTTCGTGTGTCACAAGAACGCATTCAGGTTCTGCAGCAAAATTTACAAGAGCTTGAGGAAAAACTTATCCCCAAAAAGAAATTTGGATTTAAGACCAGAAAGCCTCAGATCAAAGAGCCTATTCAAGTTCATGTTGCAGATGAAACTGACTGCAGCAAAGCTTTGCAAAAGATCTTGGTTGAAAGTGACTTTGGTATTAAAAATAAGGAAAATGAAATTCTTGTTATGAGAGCAAATTCTATTTCTGAGAAAGATGTAGCACTGTCTAATTTAGTAAGATGCACTGTGAAATTAATGGGATCTCCTGGCACTCTTCACATTTCCAACATTAATGATTGCACTATTTTGTCAGGACCTGTAGTCAGGTCAGTTTTTATTGAAAACTGTAAAAATTGCAAATTTGTTCTGCCTTGCCAGCAGCTGAGAGTTCACCTTAGCCAAGAATGTGACTTTTATTTGCATGTAACAAGTAGAGCCATTATTGAAGATAGTACATCAATCAGGGTTGCTCCATATAACTGGAATTATGAAGGATTTGATGATGATTTTGAATCTTTGTGTTGGGATCGTAAAAAGAATCATTGGGACTCTATTGATGACTTTAACTGGCTGGCTAGTGATAAACCATCTCCAAATTGGAGTATATTGCCTGAAATCGATCGATTGACTTGGAGTTGACCGAACTTGGGATTGACTGATGCTTTGTAAATAAAATTGACCTTTAACAACTGTAACTTTCTCCTTTTTATTGTTTTATTACTTTTCCATACTCTCTCAGGTCCAAGGTGAGATACACAGACAATAGCCATACACATAAATTTTATCTCTTTTACTTTAGATTGGAACGTCAGTAGGGGACGTCAGTAACAATGTAGTGAAACAAGATTATTCAGTGTTTGGTCATAGACTTACTAAATACAACAGAAATTTTTTCGTGGCCGACGCGAGGCGGGGGCGCGACAAAACGAGAGAGGCGCGTAGAGCAGCAGACTGATTCCCAGAGTCGTTCTCGTCGCTCTGTCTCTCCCGCACTCATGGGTTGTCCCCCACAGGGTGCAAGAGACACAGAGCGACGACGAAAACGACTCTCGGAATCAGTCTGCAGAGCGCACCGTGAGCACCTTGAGGCGGAGGGCAGCGCGAGCACGGCGCAGACCCCGCAGACCCTTGCTGTCTTTCGCTTCCGGGCCGCAGGAGCCGCGCGGCGCAGGGCGCAGGGCCCAAGCTGGGCGCCTGCTAGCTAGGCAACCAGTCCCAGTCCGACTCGGGCGGCCGAGCGGAGCGCAACGGAACGGTGCGGCGAACTGGCAGCGCGGCCGGCGTACGGCCCGGAGGGCCCGGAGCGACTCGTCTCGCCAGCGCGGCAACACGCTCAACACGTGCGGCAGACGTCGCGTCGGACCGCCACCGACTCGGACGAGACGTAACGCGAAAGCCCCCGACGCAGCGCGCAACTCTCGTTGTTATCTGCTTGAGCTGACTGAGTGGCGTGGCGCATTCCAACTGATGGTGACACTAGTTTCACGGGCAAATTTCGGTTCAACGCAAGCAAAACATTTGTTTTGAGTTGGCTTGTGCCTGGCAGTCTGCTGCACTGAAAAATAAGACGAGTGTCGATTGCGGCGACTTCTGCTGATACCGAGCGTAGTTGGGAGTGGAAGTGTCGTCAAGAATGAACAGCTGGAGGTGCCCCGCGTCGCGCCGGGCTGTGTCGGAGTGACCACCAGCCACACACACTTGGCGGAGGTAGGTGGGGGTTGTGCACGCGCGTGCCGCCCTGATGACGGTAGCCAGTGACCAGGGCCACTAAGCGGCCGCGGATGCATCCTGCGAGGCATCCTGCATCCTAGAGAGCAGTGCCGCCGCCGGGACTCCTCGCTCTGTCTCTCTCGCACTCATGGAGCGTGCCGTCTCGCACCTCATCTCGCCCCATGAGTGCGAGAGAGACAGAGCGAGGGTGCAGGACGCGCGGCCCTCCCTCTACGGAGGGTGAACCGGGTGGCGCTTAACGCGTTCCGAGTTCCGAGCAGTTCATAATGCACTGTTCGGTCCGCTCCAAATGAATGGAACCAAACCGACACAGGAGAATGCTCTCATTTCGGTCGTCTATGTGACTCAAAACACTCACACGTGGTACAATTTTCGGCAAACTTATTTTTTTGCAGATGATACCTTTACACCTTAACTGCAGTCGATTGGTCGAGACTTTCTTTTCGACAGTGTCGCGACGCCAGTCTGCCGGCCGTCGTTTTGCGGAGGCGACTGGCGAAACAATCACGCCGACATTCGGAAAGAATCATCGACCTCACAACTCGAGTGGGACGAGGGCACTTGTCGATCAAATTACAAATCCCGTAGGGTGGACGGGGAGGCCCCCTGCCAATAACGAGAGCCCCCTCCCCCTTCCTCCTTGTCGGGGGAAAGACCATAGCAGACTGATTCCGAGAGTCGCTTTCCTCGCTCTGTCTCTCTCGCACCCATGGGGCGTCCTATGTCGGTGCGGGACCGACGAAAACGACTGGAGAGGCTCGGTAGTCAAGGGTTCTCCGCGGCAAAGCGGATTCTGTTCGTGTTGCGAGGCATCATGAGGGAAGGGCGTAGTAGGGACCGCAGGGACGCCAGGAATAGCCACGGCCGCGTACTCGCAGAGGCCAAAGCATGGCAAAGCATGGCAAAGCATCGGTAGCGGACAAGAGGATCCGATTTGCCCACACTCCTACACCGTTCGAGGTGCGCTCTCCGAATGGGCGCGACTTCGTGTCACGTTTCAGGACCATGGATAATGCAGGTCACGCCAAGGCGTGCCATGAAGTCAGTCCAAAAATCGGCACGTCAATGTCTTCGAATGACTCAGTCACGCAACGGTTTTTGGAACGACTTTAAACGCCTGGAAAGCCCCAACCCGCATGGTGCATTCACGCCAGACATCGGCGTGACTGTTTGCCTCGCCTTCATTTGGCCATGGATAAGACCATTCCATTTTCAGTGCTCACCCATGGTCCTCCTTCACCAGGCAAAGTTCGCACTTGGGTGTCTTAGCGCCTAGCCTTTAATGGTAATGGTCTGGCGGATAGGTAACCCGTCGCGGGTCCGTGTGAGGCGCGCTGCCTATCCCACACTTCGCAGGGGCTCCTTGTGTGAGCGTTAGAGCTGCAGTTGAATTCGAATACAAAAATGTGATGAGAGCTCATACTGAATGTGTTTGTAAATACTTTCTTTGTACGAAGAAGTCTGTACCAATCCTGAGCATGCGAACTTTTCTCTCACATAAATAATGGCAGAAATTGGTGCAAAAAGCCCGCTCACTCGAAATTGTACGCGCCCTCAAAATTGGCGTCCATTTTTGCGGTGTCGTGTGTGGGCGTTTTTCGGCGTTTTTTTTTTACTTTTTTCCCGGTGTGGCGCTCGTAATGCGGCGGTCAGGCACGCCCAGGGCAGGCCGAGGCGCCGAGGCGTCATTACTCGAAAGGCACCCTTTGTGCTTTCCACCCGTTCCCACCGCAAATTAATTGCTGCACCACTTCGCCAAACAATTCGCCGTCGCGGCGCACTGCGCCCACTGGCCTCCCTCTTTCACCCTCACTATTTTTCACCATTTCTCCGTTCCGTTTTTAGCCATTCTATTCTTTTCAATCGTTCTCCCTGGGTGCGGAGAGCATGCGGATATTTCAAAGCCTGCCTCGATGAAGAAGATCCATGCAAGTGTTTCCGGTTTACATTTCATCATTTTCTTTTTCAAAGAAAGCCCCGTTTTCATCTCTACCTTTTGGAAAGTTTGTTTTAATGGCGGCACAGCACGCCGGTGTGTGGTGCACGCGGCAGGATGGAGAGGGGAGGGGACCCGCCGGCGCGAGAGCTGTTAGCTGAACGACACCAACTACTCCCCGTTAGTGCGGAATGGAGAGCCTACCTCACGCCGGCGGTGAGCCGCCAGCCGCTTTTGATTATTTCCAGCGAGGCGGGCTGGCTGGCTGCCTGGCTGGCTGTCTGCATGCCCGCCTGCCTGCCCGCCTGCCTGCATGCCCGCCCACTCTGGCCTTTTATGACGAGCACATTCAGCCGAGCGTTTCTTCTGCCTTTATCCCTTCTCCGAATGACACTACTTGCATGCATTATCTTCTCCGCTCATCCCCAGATCCTTGTCTTCGCGGGAGTACCCCGCCCCTTCTCCTGCACCCCTTCCCTTGCTTCGCCCCTCCATCCCCCCGCGTTCCCTGGTTAAAACCTCTAAGACGCTGTCAGCCACTGCAAACAAATTCAGTGAGAGGTCACTATACGTGAGGAGCTGTCAAATTTTCCCTCAGTTTTTCTACCAATACACTCCGACTTCCTCATCCTTACAAAAGGGAACAAAACAAACTCATTGCTTGAGTGTACTTTTCCTACGTTGGGTTTCCTACCTACCTGTTGGGGCGCCATCTGTTGGCGACGGTTGGCGACCGTTGGCAAGGCACGGCGATGCGCGGCGGAGGGCTGCGGAATCTGTTCCAACTGCTAATGCTGGCATTCCGGTCGTGCCGCACACGCGCCGCGTGGCGTTTGAGGGGGCGGGCCTCAGCGGAAAGCGCCGGACTAGGAAAGGGGCAGCCTTCGAGGGGAGGACACCGGTGACGCGGCCTGAATGGCGCTGAATGGCGCGCGGACGTGCGCGGCCCGGGCGGAGCGGGCAGCGCGGGGCTGCAGCATGCTGTGTTCGGAATCGCATTATCCTAATGACGCCGACGGGGAGGAGGTGGTGGCGGCGGTGCGGGGGCGCATCGGCAGCGCGGCCGTCACGTACCGTTTGCGAGCACGCCGCTGTCCTGAAGCAGGGCCGTGGCCAGGGGGGAGGACGACGGCGTCCTGCCGAGCACGCCGTTGTCCAGAAGCAGAGGACGACGGCGTCCCTCCGAGAGCGCCGAGTCGACTAGACACGAGGCTCGACTCGCATTGAACGACGATGTGACGGGGTGGTCGTCGGACGAACGTGACACGATTCGCGTTCAAGCGAGTGTGGCGTCACGTTACGTTGCTGGAATACCAGTGCAAGGAGGCCGAGCAGCTCGCCAAGCAGGCCGGCTGCGTCGCGGCGAAGCGATTCAGTGTTTGGCGGCGGCCGGACCGCCGGACGTGCCGCGGCTCCCTGATCGGCGTGGCGGCGTGGCGAGGCGTGGCGTGGCGAGGCGTGGCGTGGGTGGACGCGGACGAGGGACAAGGACACCCGGCTGTCCCGGGGGCAAGCCTTAGGCGCCCGGAGGTCCCCGTCGAGTCCCGGCTGCATTGGACGAACGTCCCCAGGGACCCCAAGACGTGATCCCCGCCATCCTATCACCTCGGCCCGGCCCGGCTCGGCCCGGGCAGCCAGGGCAGCCCCGGCCCACCCCCTCCTGGATCCCAGCATCCCCGCCGTTTGATTCCGAGACAGTGTCGCTCTGTCTCTCTCGCACCCCGGCACCGCATGGCAGTGCGAGCGAGACGGACCGCCGTTCGGAGCCAAGCTGCTGCGTCGCAACGACACGAAGCTGCAGACTGACTCCGAGGGTCGTTTCTCGTCGCTCTGTCTCTCTCGCACTCGCGGGGCGCCTCCTACGGGTGCGGGCGAGACAGAGCGACGAAAACGACTCTCGGAATCAGTCTGCTGAGGCGGAGCTCGGCGTGCCGGACGAATGAGCAAAGGTTCGGTTACCCTTCCCTCGCCGCGCGCCGCGTCGGGGCGGCGGCGGGATTTTCAACTTTTATGCAGAGGGTGGCGCGCGGCTCAACCGGGCCGGAGCCAAGTGATTGGAAACAGGGAGGATGCGGGGAGAGAAAGGAAATAAGGGAGGGAAGAGAGGGGAGGGGAGGTAAGCTGTGAATGCGTGGAGCGAGAGGGCCGATGGGTGCTTCCGCAGGCGAGTCACGCGTCTCTCAAATCGGCGCCACTTAATTCTCGGAGTAATTTCTGTCACGATATGCGAGCCGGGGGCAGGCCGGGGGCAGGCCAGGGGCAGGCTGCGGACTGATTCCGAGAGCCGTTTTCGTCGCTCCGTCTCTCTCGCACCGAAAGGCACGCCCCATGAGTGCGAGAGAGACAGAGCGACGGAGGCGACTCTCGGCATCGTCTGCTGGGTCCTTGACTCGCAGCTACAGGTTGCCGTGCCGTCTACAGACAGAACTTTTGCTTTCGTCCTCGCTCCACAGCTCGCCGGGGCGGGGCGGCCGCCTCTGCCCCTATGTCACGGGGCTTTTAGCCCACCCGGTGGTACATCATCATGTGCGCAAAATTCACAGTGCATGGCGGTGTGCGCTTGCCCGCGACGAGCGTCCGGCGCGCGACCCGAGCGGGCCGAAGCGGGGATGGATGCGGATAACGAAGCGAAATTGATTGCATAATTTGATTGAAAGTCCGGGGGTCCAAGTACAGCGGCGGCGCGTGACGCCTGGTGTCGGATTATCGTGTGTGTGTGTGTGTGTGAGAGAGAGAGAGAGAGAGAGAGAGGAGAGGAGAGAGAGAGAGAGAGAGAGAGAGAGAGAGAGAGAAAGAGAGAGGAGAAAGAGAGAGAGAGAGAGAGAGAGAGAGAGAGAGAGAGAGAGAGAGAGAGAGAGAGAGAGAGAGAGAGAGAGAGAGAGAGAGAGAGAGAGAGAGAGAGAGGATTAGGCATGCTGGAGAGGCCAGCGGGTGGGTGCGGGATCGCCTCCGCACACAACCAACCCGTGCAGAGGCAGAGCCTGCATGTCCATTTTTCACGAAACGGACAACCGTGGCGCACCCCGGCGTGCCTCGCGGC